ATTACCTTCCAGGGGGAGCTTGTACAGCAGCTGGTGCCCCGGTTTTTGTGGCTGCTGCCCAGCAGATGCTGTTTAGTTGCCTGGATCTAGTGTCCAGTGGGGCTTGTGTCCATGAGTCCCACAAGACTGTAACAAACACACAGACAGTTCCTGGCAGAATACCACCCCTAGGGCACAGTGCAGACAGCAGACTGAAACACAGCCCTGGTCTTTCTGTGTAAGAGGCCTACCTGCTCGTGTTGGAATTTCAGCCTGAGGGGCAGAATTCCAATTTGGCACCCAGAGGGGCCTAATAAGGTGCTCTCTGGGATGGAGGAAAATGGTACCATCTTCATCTGCCTCGCTCTGGGCTGCGAGTATCTCCTGGAGGGGAGATTGTGCCCTCATTAAGTGCCCTGATTTTTGTGCTGGCCACCCAGGGGACAACCTCTTGGTCACGGGGCCCTGATGGCCAATGAGGCTTTCACAGAAACAAAATAAAGCAGTTCCCAAATAAAGGAAATACAAGTGCTTGATAAACACAGGAGCTGCTTAGCCTCTCCAGTAACAAGAAACTAAACAACATCATTTGTGCATGCAAACTAAAACATCGTTTATGCATATCACATCAGAAAAAAGTTTAAAGTTTGATATTTAGCAAGTTGCAGTGAGATGGGTAATCTCATAGTTCAATCTCATAGTGAATGGGATTATATGCCTTCAAGGGCAATTTGTTAGTATTTTAAATATCCATACCCTGGTGCAATTCCACTTCTGAGTGTCTACTACAAAGACATACCCTACATGTAAACCAGGACATGTTCACAAGAATGTTCATTTCAGCATCATGTCACTAGAAAAAAACAGAAACCACAGTCAGGATATTAAAATGGTTAATGAAATGTAATATTGTACAATATAATACTATAGAGTCAAAAAAATGAATTAACTGGCTTTTTATACATATCAACATGAACACATGGACCCATACAACTGAGAGAACAAAACAAATTTGAGAACGCTTACATTTATAATGTTACCATTTATATAGAAAAACACAGAACAGCATTTTGTATTTTCTTTTGGTACACATATACATGTAAATTAACAATTTTTTTAAATTGTACATCTCTCTGGGGAATGTGGAAGAAACCAGTCAAGAGGACTTTCACTTTATCTGTTTTTTTAAAGCCTGTGTATTACTCCTGTATTTTTAAGAGAATGGAAAGACAACAGTTCTGGAAAGAAAGTAAATTACTAGTGCTCACCTCTGGAAAGAAGAGTAGAAGAGTAGGAGTGACTGATAGAAGACATTTCTATTCTCTCTAATTTGCATTTTTACCCAGTGTGCATATCACTTTTGCAATTTTTAAAATGCTGAATTGCTTCCCCACTTTGTAAGCAATACATAAGGACTGAGACTGCTATTTTTACATTTGTGAAATGGGGTTGTGAATTTAACTCTTATTCTTTGTTAGACCATTCAGAAACTCTTCTTCCATTAGATAAAATTCTTAATCTTTTACTCATAAATGGCAAATCATAGCCAGCTGGGTTAAGGAAGGAGAGACTTGCAGCAAAATCAATGGAAAGTTCATGCGATCTCTTAGGCCAAAAGGTAAATACAATTGATTTTCATTTGAAATATTCCATGAGTCAGTTCATTTAATTTCTCTTAGAACTCAGAAAAAAATGTTAAAAAAAATAACAAAACCTGAATTTGAATTCCAGTTTTGTTCTGTTTTGTATCCCTCAGTAACTGACACTATGTTGTGGACTACCTCAAAATGTGTCCTTCATGTATCCTTTAAAAAAATACAGGGTGGCAGTCATTAGAATTCCCATACTCAGAAATTTAGCAGGGGAATAAATAAACCTTTATTTTCACTGGACAATGGGCTTAAGGCCTTTACAGGATGACATGAAAGAAACAAGATTTTAATTTTCAACTGTTGACACTATTACCAAAGTATTTTACTTTTAATCATTTCAAGAATTGAATGAAATTGCCCAAATTATAATTTATTTAAAAAATAAAGTAATTATAACTTTATGGATAACAGTGGTCTGAAAAATATTTTTCACTTTGTGTATTCTTATTAGCTTCTAATTAAAAACAAGTAAAAAGAGTTAATGTCACATTGCACCCACATTCCAAGAAGGAAAACTAAACTTCATCATGTCCAGTAATTGCTCTTTCTGTACTTGAAAGTGGTTAATATTTAACCACTTGAAATGTCCCTTAGCACTTGGAGAATTCAGGCAAAGTGCAGCTAAATATACTCTTGTGTAACTTAATTGGATAGAGTTCAAATACAAGACAGACTTGGGGGATGCAAGGAGAAGACAGGAGAGTTAATTTAGCTACACGTAACTTATGAGAAACAAACATTTTATCAAGTTGATTTTGGCATTTAACTTCATAATCCCTATTTTGTCTCCAATTTCAAATACTCCTGCTCTCTGTTCCATATCAATCCACCATATATTCATTCAACAACTATTTATTGAGCAACTACACTGTGGCCCAAAAGGAAATAAAAAACAAAAATCCCCATTTGCAGAGAACTTGCATTCCAGAGGGAGGAGAAAAGATAAAAAAAATAATAAACAAGGAATCTTGATCTCCTTTCTTCCTTTCCTTCCACCTTCTCTCTCTCTTCCTCTTAACTGGAGAATCTATGATGACGTAAGTATTAAGACAAAGCTGTAGAGTCTATATCGATATTACAGTGGCTCTCTTCCCTCCCAGAATTTTTGCAAAGATAATCTAACATCTGTATTGTCTAGAGGTTAGTGAATCCCTTTCCTATAGTGGTATCAGTAACAGACTTGGAACCACTCTCTTGTCACCCCTTGGGAAGAGTAAAACTAGTTATTACTAATACAACAAAGCTGGGAGAGGAAGGTGCTCCAACACTTACTGTTGCCCGCCCACGTCCTGCACCAATGAGCACAGTGCACGGCTTTCTTCCTGAGCCCTCACAGTGCCCCTTATGAGTGGATGCTTTTATTATTTGTATTTGCGGTTGAGAAAGTAAAGCTTAGAGATGATAAATAAACTGGAGAGGCCAGGATTTGAACCCTGGAGTTCTAAGTTCAGAGACTATATCCTCCACTGTCAGGCTAGTCTTGTACTTTTGAATGTGCTTTTTAATGAACGTAGTTCTCATGAAATGCAGCCTTAAGAATGAAGCAGGGAAAATCTTGTTATTCCAGCTTTAGTGCTCAGAAAGCTGTGGCCTGGGTTAAAATCAAAGGTGATTTCATTAGGAGCGCACGACAGAGGCAATGCTGTGCAGAGGTGGTAAGGGGCCCAGACCCCTGAGTTCAGCTCTTGGCTCTGCTACTTAGTAGCTGTAAAATCCCCAGTAGGTTCCTAGACCACCGTGTGCTCCATCTGTAGAAAGGGGGCGATAATAACACTTGCTCCATGATCTTGGGAGTGTTAAATTACATTAACACAAAGCCTAGCAAACCATAAGAGCTCAATAAATATCAGCTGTTAAGTGCAAATCCAGGACTAGAAATCCATTTAGACTTGTGGTTCAGTGTAGTACCCAGAGTATATAACTTCCAGTCCTGAGGAGGAGAGGGATCTGACTTGGGAGAATGTTATCTCAGTCAAGGAACCTTCCTATTACAGGGAAGTTTTTGGTATTTCACTAAAATAAAAATAACAAATAACAATAAATAAAACACTGGAAGAATAAAACAATCAATAGAACTATAGACCAAAGGATGAATTCTCAATATGCAAATTACACTTCATTAAACTTGTCAAAAGAAAGGAAATACAACAAATTTTACAATTGTCCAATTTTTTAGTGATCCTTTTATATTTTTATGCCTCTTAAATTTTCATGCCTGTTTTTCCTTTAACTTCCATGAAATGACATTATCCTGATTTTCCTCCCACACTCTGGCTACTTCTTCTGGGTCTCCCTAAATGTGCTGTTTCTTAGAACTCTCTTCTAGACATCGTGTTCCATGTACTCTGTAACTGGGTGTTTCATCCATTGCCATAGCCTACGTGCCCCAAATATGATAACAATTCTAAAACTCGTATCTCTAGCCATGAACTTCAGTCTCTCATATCCATTTCAATGGTGGACATCCATCCACAGGCTCATCGTGTCTAAACAGCACTCAATCAAATTCATACACCCCTCCCTGTGTGCCTCTAATCCACCAACTCACTCTCCCACCGCTGCCCTTCTTTTCACCGGGTACCACTTACTACCCCAAGATTATAGTTGACATTAGCTTATGTTATTTATCCTCCCCAGGAACATTTTCATAGGACCTCTGAAAAAACACATCATCTAAAAGGAAAACACTAATGCCCACACCCAGCCAATATACTAATGTGCTGCAGAAAGAATTAAGGTGTGTCTCAAATATTGGTCCCCTAAGCCCTCAAAACAGTCACCTTCAGCTGCAACAACTCTCTTTGACTTGACCAGTATACTGTGCAAATACTGTCATTTTCCACGTGTGTTGTGTTGCGAGAAATAGGAGAGGCACTCTTCCAATGGAGGACCCACCGGCAGTGACACATGGTTGGTCACAGTTTTTAAGTCCACCTGACACGCACACATTGGAAAAGCTGACCATCTCTTACCAAGACTTCATAAGCCAGTGGTTCTCAACTAGGGAGAAGAGACATTTTTGGCTGTCCCACTGGGAGAATGCTACTGGCAACCAGTGGGTCAAGGAAGGGATGGTGCAAAATGTCCTTCAATCACAGGACAGCCCCCCTACAAAAAACTTTATCTGCCCTCAAACTGTCCATTGCTGAGATTGAGAGACTCTGTTCTAAGATAAGGAAGTGGGTTCTAACTGTAACGTGGATTTCCATACCCTCAATCCTTTGCTACCACCAACAGCTACTTTGATACCACTTCTGGCCACCACTAAGAGCAATGACCCCTCAGGGTTCTTTTGCCAAATTCTACACGCTGCGTCTGGAAGCCTTGGGGTGTGGTTTCCCATTTGCACAGTGCACTCACAAACAAATTCCTGTGAATTCGGGGAGTTTCTGAAACCAGGCAGAGTTCAAGGAGGAGGACACCACATTCTCTGATCTCCTGCACTTTCTCCCTGCACCATGGGGAAAGGCAGACGTGCTCTGTCATGCTGTGTTCTAATTCTTGCCCTCCTACCGGCAGCTGCCTCAGCCTACGCACAACCGTGAGTACCACCCAGGACCCTCGTTTATAGTCCTTTCTTCTTGCAGTCTCTCTTACAACATTCCATTGCCATTTCACCCCCAAATCTCCACCTATATTCTTAAATGCTCCTTCCAACTTTAATATATTTCTATATAACCTTTCTTTCTAAAGTAATTAGTGTGACTAAACTTAGATGTGATCTTACTTTTTAAAAAACTCCTCTCCTATTAGCCTGTCCTTGAGACCTGTAATTCCAATAAAGAGCCATCCTTTTGTATTGAAGGCATTGAAACACAATGGTTTAGAACACAAATATTTAACTTGTGGACACTTGCAATTGGATTAAACATTAAGATTGGAGCCATAACTTGGGCTCCGGGTGAGTCTTGGGACAAATCAGACCTCTTTGAGACTATCTCAGCATCTATATGATGACACTATCTGCTCTGCAGGGCTATTGTAAGGATCAAAATGCCTTGCACAAGGGTGCTACCAACAGAATGTATTAATAGTGATAAGAACTGACACATTACCAAGAGTTGTATTGTCACATTCCTTTTCTCCTTTTTTATGCTCTTAAGAACAAAGATATTTAATAGGAGTAGTAAAAGAAGATGATGTGGTGATATTTAGAATACTTTAGAGACAGCAGGCTTGGGGTTGGGTTTTGAAAAACCTCAGATGCCAGGACAGGAGAGGTGAGTCATCACTGAAAACAAACTTTGTCTATTTCACAGTTGTGACCTGGGTCAATTACGCAACTCTGAGTCCTACACTTAATGCTCTGAATCTAGAGATTAGGAGAAACTAAGAATAAAAAGGGGCACCAGGGTAATTTTCAATAATTAAATATGTCAATTGGGAGTAAGCAAAATTCAATCGTTTTATGTAGTGAATAGTTATTTCTCTCAGTTTTTCCTTTAAAAAAGTTCAGAAATTTGAGTGTTGGAGGTTTCATGGGGTGAGCACACAAAGTTGTAACACCTTTAAAACTCACCTTGAGTGTAATGTCATTGCCTGGCTGAAATATTACCAGTACCAGTGAAGAGAGAGAATAATTTTCTTGCCATTCAGCCGTAACTTCATGTTGCCAACCTGCCTTCCCTGGTGTAGAAGGTAAGGATGCTAATAATTACTGTGATGAGACCACAATCATGGGTGATGATATCTGCCTTCCACTGACCTGACACCTTTCTTTCCAGGCAGTATATGGTGCTGGTCCCCTCCTCACTCCACACTGAGACCCCTGAGAAAATCTGTCTCTTTCTGAGATGCTTAACTGAAACAGTGGCTGTCAGTGCTTCCCTAGAATCTGTCGAGAAAAGGAGGCTCTTCAATGACCTCAAAGTTGACAAGGACTTATTCCACTGTGTCTCTTTCATAGTAAGTACTAGCTGCCTATCTCTATTTTGTTTTTTCTTCCCTCCCTCTGTTCTTTGCTTCCATTCTTTTGTCTTCCTTTCTTTTGTTATGTTATTTTAATGTTCAGAGATCTTTTTTCAGTATCAGGAAATTAATTTAGACGAGCATCAAAGACTTCGAAGAGAAACCTATAGTTTACCCTAACAAAGGGACAAAATATAGATTTCCCACCCCAAAATGGGGAGGAGACAATACTTAGAGACATGCTGATTTTCTATTTAATTCCCATGAAAATCCTACTAGCCAAAGAAAGCATAAGTCATTTCTAATAGTAAGGTGCAAACTTTGAAATAATACCAGAACAAGGGCCCCCACCTTCCACATATAATTGATACCCTGAGGATATTTCTAGTTTATTCTTGGGGCAATTTATCTGCAAGGTACAAGTTCTATCATTATTCGAATATTAATTTTTCACTTTCTTGTAGTTTTCAGATCTACTTTTGAATCTACTTTTAAATTAAGATTATAATACTCTATGAAGTTGACATGTTTTAACTGTTACAGTTGTCACATGGAAATTTGGGTTTCACTTGCTACACTTCTATCTGAATTATTCTCCTCTGCCATGTGTTTAAGTAATATCACCCCCTACCTACCTTTCTGTGATGTTGAAGAACAGGTAAGAGGTAAATACAAAGGCTTCCAGAGGGAGTTCATGAAGCCTCTCATGATCCTTTTTGTTCTTAGCTCCCAAGATCTTCATCTTTTGATGTATTCCTCTCTGTCCACATAAAAGGACAAACACATGAATTCAGGGAAGAGGCCTCAGTGCAGGTAAAGAACACAGGAAGTCTCATCTTTGTACAGACCGACAAACAAATCTACATACCAGGACAATCAGGTATGAAACTCCATGGTGAACTACCTCCAGAAATGAGATTTCCTCCTTAGTATGTTACTCAAAATGCCTCACGAAGAAAATTTCTCTTTTTCAGTCAACTTTCGAATTGTGGCTGTGGACAAAAATTTTCACCCACTGCATGAGTTGGTGAGTCTTTTATGTGTGTATCAATGGTTTGGGAGATAGTAAGTGGCAATACAGAGCAAGAAGACTGTAAGAAATTGTCATGTCTACAAACCTGAAATCAACAGCAGTGACCCTTCACTCAAGCAGAAAACCAGATGGCCTTAAGAAGTGTTACCAAAAAGGAAAGAATGAATGAATTCCTTTTCTTCTGTGCTTTTTAGTAAACCAGATATCAGTCGAATACATTTATTGTTAGGAGGACCTGTATAAGCATTTCAGGGGGCATACACATATAATAATGGTGTCCCTTGATACCATTTAATCACATAAATCCTCAAAAGCTTTACATCTCCACTAGGACCTCTACAAAACCGTAATAGTGGACTTAACAAAATGAGTGTCTTGTTAAGGAGATGGGTCATTGGTATGAATGTTACTCCACAAACTCAAGTATGCAAACAGCAACATATTCCTTTAAATCGAATTAAACTCAGGATCCTTGTGGAAAATTCACTTTTTGATATTTTAGAAAATGCCTCCTCTTCCTTTGTGGCATAAAATAATCCAAAACACTTACAGGCAGCCCAGAAGTTGGGGGAAAAGGCCACTAGGTTTCCATTCATCAAGGTCATTTTTATGCCCCTTTCTCATCAAATCAAACACAACCCTTGCCCTACACCCTGCCAACCTCACCTCAAACTTTACCAAGAAAAATAAAACAGTAAGTCCCAACTCCACTATTTTGCATCTTAATCTGTATTTTTTGTCTTTTTTAAACTGATAGTTGTTATACAGTATTACATTGATTTCAGGTGTACAATAATGATTCACAATTATACACATTATATACAATTATACACGTGTTTGCCACAATAAGTGTAGTTACCATCTGTCATCACACAAAGGAAAAAAATTACAATATTACTGGCTATATTCCCTAGTCTGTACTTCCATCTTTGTGACTAATTGATTTTATAATTTAAAGTTTGTACCTCTTTATCTCCTTCACCCATTTTGCCAATTCCCTCATTCCTTCCCTATGGCAACCACCCACCATTCTATTCTCTGTGTTTATGAGTCAGTTTCTGCTTTGTTTATTCGTGTTTTGTTTTTTAGATTCCACATATAAGTGAAATCATATGGTATTTGCATGGCTGACCTATTTCACTTAGCATAATACCCTCTAGGTCCATCCATGTTGTTGCAAATGGCAAGCTCTCATTCTTCTTCATGGCTGAGTAGTCCATAGTGTATATGTACCATATCTTCTTTATCCATTCATCTACTGATGACACTTACCTTGCTTCCATATCTTGGCTACTATAAATAATGCTGCAATAAACATAGAAGTACATATATATTTCAAAGATATTTTTTTGAAATGATATTTACCAGTTTACTTCAGGTAAATTCCTAGAAGTGGAATTACTGGGTTGCATTGTATTTTTAGTTGTAGTTTTTCAAGAAACTTCCATATCATTTTCTCTAATGGCTGCACCAATTTACATTCCCACCAACAGTATACAAGGGTTCCTTTTTTTCCACAACCTCATCAACATTTGTTATTTCTTTTTATATATATATTAGCCAGTCTGACTGGTATGAGGTATGAGGTGATATATCATTGTAGTTTTGATTTGCATTTCCATGATGATTTGTGATGCTGAGCATCTTTTTATGTCTGTTGGCCATTTGCATGTCTTCTTTGGAAAAAAAAGTCTATTCAGGCCTTGTGCCCATTTTGTAACCAAGTTAATTTTTTTTGCTATTGAATTGCATGAGCTTCTTACACATTTTATATATCAACCCTTTATCAGATACATGGCTTACAAATATTTTTTCCCATTCATGTTTCCTTCTCATTTTGTTGATTCTTTTGCTGAAAAGAAGCTTTTTAATTTGATGTAGTCCTGCATGTCTATTTTTGCTGTTGACTGTGTTTTTGGTGTCAATTACCCAAAAAAAAAAATCATTGCCAATATCAATGTCCAGGAGTTTTTTCCCTATATTTTCTTCTAGGAGTTTTATAGTTTCAGGTCTTATATTTAAATCTTTAATCCATTTTGAATTGCTACTTGTGTGTGATATAAGGTAAGGGTCCAGTTTCATTCTTTTGCATGTGGATATCCAGTGTTTCAAACACTGCTTGTTACCAAAACTGTTTCTTAACTGTGTGTTCTTTGCACCTTTACTGAAAGTGACATATGAATGGGTTTCTTTCTGGGCTCTCTATTCTGTGCCATTGGTCTACAGGTCTGCTTTTATGCCAGTACCATAGGGTTTTGATTTCTAAAACTTTGAAATATAGTTAGAAGTCAGGAAGTATCATGCATGCAACATTGTTCTTCTTGCTCAAGATTGCCTTCACTACTTGGGATATTTGTGATTTCATAGAATTTTTAGGATTTTTTTTTTCTATTTATATGAAAAATGCCATTGAGATTTTAATATGGTTGACACTGAATCTGTAAATTGCTTTGGGTAGAATGGACATTTTAACAATATTAATTATTCTAATACATGACCACAGATATCTTTCCATTTATTTGTGTCTTCAATTTCTTTCATCAGTGTTTTATAGTTTTTAGTGTACAGATCTTTCACCTCCTTGGTTACATTTATTCTTATGTATTGTATTCTTTTTGATGCTGTTGTAGATGGGATTGTATTCTTTATGTCTTTTTCAGGTAGTTCGAGTTGGTGTAGAGAAATACAACTGAGCTTTCTATGTTGACTTTGTATCCTGCAACTTTAGTGAATTCATTCATTAGTTTTTAACTGCTTTTTGGTACAGTCTCTAGGGCTTTCTATATATAAGACATGCCATCAACAAACAGAGGCAATTTTACTTGTTCCCTCCTCCTGATTTAGATGCTTTTATTTATTTTTCTTCCCTAATTGCTCTGGCTGGGACATCTAATACTATGTGAAATAAAAGTAGCAAGAGTAGGCATCCTTGCCTTGTTCCTGATCTTAAAGGAAGAGCTTTTAGCTTTTCATCATTGGTATGATGTTTTGTTGTAGGTTTGCCATATATGGCCTTTGTTACATTGAAGTACTATCCTTCTATAACTTATTTGTTTAGAGTTTTTATCATGAAAGGATGTTGAATTTTCTCAATGTTTTTCTGCATCTATTGAGATGGTCACATGATTTTTATCCTTCATTCTGTTATTGTGGTATATCACATTGTTTGATTTGCATGTGTTAAATCTTCCTTGCATCCCAGGGAAAAAGCTCACTTGATCGTGGTTGTATGATCCTTTTAAATTAAAAATAATTTATAATACTTACTGTGTCTTTTAATACATTTATTTTTTAAAATTATAGTTTTTATTACCAATGGATTACTGTGTCTATTTTTGCATATTTCCCATTTTCTAAGTGATTATTATTTTTTCCTACTATTCCATTATTTTCTTAATATTGATCTTGGTGGATAATTTATTAGACCTAATAATTTATCAGTAGATTCCATTGGTTTATCTATAGGAACAACAATATAATCTGAACAGCTTGTGTCTTCTTTCATAATTTTTATAACTCAGTTCTCTTTTCCGGTCTTATTGTTTAGTACCTGCAGAATGATGTTAAATAGAAGCATGTTTATGACTTTTATAGGAATTCTACTAAAGTTACACTGTTATATGTGATGTTTGCTGTAGGCTTTTGATCTCTCTTCTATTTTTACCATTCACCCTTATCTTTTTAATATTTAAAATATTGGAAGTTGTTTTCTAAAAAAGAAAAATATGTCTTCTGGGCACATGAGGAAGAAATATGATATGACTGTAAGCAAAGAGATGGTATTTAAATATAAAATTGGGTGAAATAACTCAAGAGACTGCATTTAGAAAGAGCAGGGAGGAGAAAAAACATTGAGTCCTGAGGACTAAAAATCCTAAGAGATTGGGAAGATGAGCAAAACCCAACACAGGCAACTGAGAAAGGGCAGGAAGAGAAATCAGGGGAAAACTAGTAAAGTGTTGTGTCCTGGAAGGAAGGACTTCCGTTTCATAAAGGAGAGAGAAATCAACTGTGTCAAGGGCTGCTGGTAAGTGAAATAAAATGAGGGCTGAAAAAGTGAACATTGGACATAGAATGAAAATATTATTGGTCACCTTGATTAGAGCACTTTCAGTAGAAGGATGAATTCAAAGCCTAATGGGAGTAATAAAAAGAGAGAATAAGGAAAAGAAACTGGAAACAATGAATGTCAAGAAATGCTTAGAGTTCTTTTATAAAAGAAACAAGATGAGGGAGTACCAGGATGGGAAAAGGGAATTAAGAGATACTACTGATTATCTTTACAAAACTTATCATTTTAACATCTTTGAAATATTTTTATTCTTTTACCATTTGAAATGCTTTTTCAGTGGATTCTCTTCAGTTTTCCAGGCTAACAACATATCATCTGTAAAAATAGTAATAATAAGTTTACCTCTTTCCTTCCAACTTTTATAAATTTTATTTCTAAAATCTAATTTTGATAGTACCTGTAGACCAAGTCCAATAAAACAAATAATAAAGATCTTCCTTGTCTCATTTCTGACTTTTCTGTTGAAATGTTTTTTTCTTGGACACGGTATATAAGCATTTAATTCTTATTTTTAAAGAACTTTTGAAAGGTTGTTGAATGCTATCAAATACTTTTAAAATGTCTACATAAATGATCATATTATTTAGTCTTTCTGTAGCTACTATAACAGTGAATGATATGATTATTTGTCCTTACATAAGATAATCTTCATACCCTCAGAATAATTAACTGCAACATAGTCATGATGTTTTCTGGGGAATTCTGTTAATATTTTATATAAAATATTTGCTTGATATTTATATATCACATTGGGTTGAAGATTTAAGTGCTTTCTTGTGAATTCTGATAATATTATGTTAGGGTTTTTTTCCAGCTGTATGTTTTCTATGCAATTGCTGTTACCAGTTTCTTAAAAAATTTGTTGTTTTTCTGGAATTATCTGGGACTAGTCCTATTTAGGGTGTAATTTGAAGATGTTTTCATTTCTTCTATGCTAATTGCTATGTTTATAATTCCTCTTCTGGGGACATTTTGGTGATTTATATGTTTTAGAAAAGCATCTTTTTAGAGTCATCATCATCACTTAAAGCATTTTTTTAGAGTTATGATCACTTACATATTAGTTTTAAATTTGTATCTTATTTCTCCATTATTATTTCTAGATGTCTGTAGTTGTCTCTTTCATGCTTTTTATGAGTGAGTGAATAGATTTTTATTCTACCAATAGAATCCATTTTTAGAATAATTCATTAGTTCTCCTGATTTTTTCTTTTCCAGTTCCTTGAAGTATAATTATATCTTTATTATTTGCTATTAAATGTTTCTTTGGGGTTTGTTTTTTATTCCTTTTTATATTGAATGTACACTTTCCATGTTTTTTAATTATTAATAGAACTATTTAAGGCTACATCTTGTCCTATGAATACCACATTTGAAGAATTTCACAATTATTTTTTAATTAATTTTCTATTTCTGTTTGATGTCTTCCTGGATCTAGTTGCTTACAAAAGAACTTGTAAAACAACTTGAGTTGTTTTGCATTTTAGTTTTGTTAGAGTTAGGATTCCAGTTAAAATTGATTAGTAAGATTTATAGTGAAAAGTGTGTGGGTTCTATTTGGTGATCTGTCTTGTAATTCACTTTATAATGGGATATTAATATCCTTGAATCTTGGCTGAAACTCCCATTGTAATATTTAATTCTTATAGTCTATTTGAGTTTGCTATTTTAGAGAGATTTCTGAACTAACTTCTTTTTCCTTTCCCTTTTGTTTTCTAGTGTCCACTGATTCACATTGAGGTAAGCAACTTAAAGCATTCCATATTTAGAAAGAAACAGTAAATTGAGAAGAAGGTGCTATTTGGAAGGTCATAACAATATTCCAAAGATACTACAGATTGAAAGAAGCCTTTGCATATCTGAAATCCTCCCATGATCCAGAGAACTGGTGTGGTACCCCACGTGCTTTTATTTATCTCTATCTGAGGAAAAAAACAAGAAATGTCCAAAATAATCTATCACTAACACAGCAGTCTTCCAAAATGTATTACTGCCCGTAATTCTTTTTTTATCTTGATAAGTTATAATAACCTGTTTCATGTATTTAGGACCCTGGAATGAATCGAATTATGCAATGGCAGAATATCAAGTTAGAGAATGGTCTTAAGCAATTGTCCTTCAGCCTGTCGTCAGAACCCATTAGGGCTCCTACAAGATAGTGATACAAAAACAATCAGGAAGAAATATAGAGCACTCCTTCACCGTGGAAGAATTTGGTATGATTTTGGAAGATTGGAAAGGGAAAGTGGGAGCCATGAGCTTCTCGTTACTAGGATGTGAATCTATTTGAATACTTTTAACCCCCATGCGGTGAGGGTAGGCTTCATCTGATTCTAACCAGGACCATCATCCATGAACAGAAAACTTTGTAAGTTTTGGGATTTTTCAAAAGCATCTTATTTTCTCCAATTTGGAAATATCTTCATATTTCAGTGGAAGGTCTCTGATTTGCTAGGACTAATACAATCTATGACCATGCAAGTTTATAGCTCTATTGGGTCATTATCTTAAGATTTTAAAGTTAGAAGGGAAGTCAACATTTCAGAATGCCGGTTTGTCCTTTGGCAACCACAAAAACAACTGGCCAACCCGCCACATTTCTCTACCTCTTTCAACAGTGCTTCCCAAATTTGAAGTACAAGTGAAAGTTCCAAAGGTCATCACTATACTGGATAAAGAAGTGAATGTGTCAGTATGTGGAAGGTGAGTTTTTGTTTCTTTTTTCTACCCATTAAAATGTTCTCAAATGATGAAAACATCTTGGATGACATCTTGTTGCAGCACCATAAAAATGTGTATAAATATCTGAGGCATCTCTCTGCACTCCTCTAAAACTTTCTCTTCATAACTTTATTTTCTTCTTTCTTTTCCTCATTGTAATTAATTATCTACCTCCATTACTGTTAAAATACCCACTGTATAACTTGTTGATAGGAAGAAACAAATTGAGTTCCTTCTGATAATGACTGAGTTCTTCCAAGGTTGGAACAAATTACCTTAGGCAGCAATGAGTTCCCTATCCTTGAAGATATAAAAGCACATGATCAAATCCACTTAACAGGACATGTACAGAGATTCCAGCACTAAGTGTGGCACTGCGCTGACCCAGGGAGGTGTAGTGGAAAGAGCAGGTAACTAAGAGTTCACAGTCCTTGCTGCAAGTCCAGCATCTATTACTAAGTCACTAGGACTATGTATATTACTTTCTTACTCTGAACTTGCATTCTTCATCAAAAAAACAAAAACAAACTAAGAACATGGACTTATAAATGATTTCAAATTACTATTAAAGTCTGCAGTCATAGACATGGAAAACAACACTAGCAGAAGTGAGACATTCTATTTGCCTGAGGATTAAATACAGGAGACACTGCGTCAGCTGGACCCCTTTACAAGCTCTTTCAAAGTAACAGTGATGGGATTCTTTTTTTTAGATTTATTTACATCCTATAACCTATATTTCTTTCTTAGAAGAGAAAGTTCAGGTAAACCAGAACAAATTATATCAGTAATTTATCACATAGTCAAAAAGTGTGTAAATGGGGCAGTTAATTCTCCTTAAAGCAGAATGATAAATTATATATAATGTGATACAATTTTAGTAAATATGACCACATAGAAGTGTAAGACAGTCCCATGGGTTCTTGGAAGATTCTGGATGACTGTGTTTAAATGAGTGCGATTGTAAGGATTTCTTCTCTTTTTCACTGTCACTCTTTTCTGATTCTTCTACAAAGGACATTGAAAATTCTGTTGTGAAATATTAGAATAAACATTTTGAGAAGAATAAATAGAAGAGATGAACTGGAAAAGAGAAGTATTAGAATAAAAGGGGAAAGATTGGAAGGGTTTATTAGGGAATATTTTCAGTCTATTGAGCTATGCTTCCAATTAACATGAATCGTACACCATGAAGACTTGAAGGCAGCAGAGTGCAGAGGTCAAGAGCTAAGCTGCCTAAGTTCAAATCTCAGCTCCATTCCTTCAGTTGAGCAGCTCTTTTGGGTTACCAAACCTTAGTGTGTTTCATTTTCCAGAACTACAAAATGGAGAAAGTAATATCACACCCCTCATGAGGTTATTAAGAGGATTAAGTTACTTAATATATGTAAAGCACTGCGAACTTGGCCTATAGTAGTATTAACTATTATTGTATTTGTTGTTATTATGCTGAGTAAATATGCTATGACTGATTGATAGTGTAGAATATGGATAAGAAGGAGGTGGGTCTCTGCTCTTGGGAAAATTTATTGTCTCTGGGAATTTCTCTTATGACAGATACACATATGGCAAGCCTGTCCCAGGGCATGTAACCATGAGTATATGCCAAAAATATCTTCACCCCTTAAATCACTTTGGCAGAAATTTAGAGATTGCCTGTGAGGAAGTCAGCCAGCAGGTGAGTGAAAACTATTCAAAAAGGCTTGCTGACATCCAAGAATAATTGTAAGTACAAATAAAGTCTGGAAGGAGAAGCATGCTCACAGACCAAAAGATGAAAGCCCTGTGATCCACCATTATGGAAGGGAGAATTACAGATATTTGTAACTAAATATCTGTCAACAAAACACTAGTCATTAATAAGAGATAATAGTGGTTCTTTTAAATAATAGCTACCAGCAATTGAGTACTTATGACATGCTAGCCCATGTTAAAGAATATATATCTACTAATTCACTTAAACTTCACAACAGCCCAATGAAGTAGGTGTTATTATTATCACCATTTTACAGATGTGAAACAGAGACATGGGGATGCAATGAAACTTGTTCAAGATCATGTCACACAGCTAGTAAATGACAGAGCTGAACTCCATGCTCAAAGCTGACATACTGTATTACCTCTTTATAGAAGGCCTCACATTTTGGGTTGGATTGACCACTGATCTGAACAGCATGCCTGTTTGTTTTTTGTCTGTGTTTTTCTTGCTTCTCAGCTAGAGAGCCATGGCTGCATCACACAACAAGTAAATACTAGTGCATTCGAATTAAAGGAGCAAGAGTATCTCACTGTGAATCTTCAAGTGGATGCCAAGATTATAGAAGAGGGGACAGGTGTGTGGCTAACATAAGGATCCGGGAGACAAAGCTGATTAGTGATGCCTTTTCATCATCAAGAGGGTAGGGAGACGGGAGTAGAAAAATTATTTGAAAGCAAATCATTCCTTTCCAACAGGAACTTTTTTTAACTTCTTTCTCAGAGCTGGAATTCAATGGAGCTGGGACAACTAAAGTCACAAGAACTATAACAAAACTCACGTTTGCAAAAGTGGATTCACACTTTAGACAAGGCATTCCATTCTCTGGGCAGGTAGAGTAATTTATATTTAATTCATAGTTAAATTGTAATGTGACACCCAAACAACACAGATCTTTTTGCTCAAGACCATACCTGATTAAAATTATCAGTTGCTTTATAAGGCCAAAATTGCAAAACGATATATAAGTAGATCTTTTTACTTATGAATAATGCTCATGAAATCTATAAATCCCAAAGCATTATTATGTTTCTCTTACAAAAGAACAGGGGCTAAATATTCAAAATAAATCCATACTGTTTCAACCTTCACCTCTTGGCAGGTATTTAATATCTCTAAGCACTAACACAAATACCAGTCTTTTACAAGTTATTCTTATAAGTTATCTTAGTACATATGCCACTCTAAGTTCAAATGATAAATGCATTAGTGAGTCAGTGGTTTTCTTTTGAAGCACAGGTAAATATGATACACTTAGTGACTTTAAGGGTGTGACCGTCACTTTCTGTATAATAAGTAAATATATGTTAAATATAGGAAATGCAAATACTAAGAAAATGTTATGTTTCCATTTGATGTTTCTAGTATTTAAGGACTAATGAATTTGTCAAAGTCCAACAGAAATCCCTGGTGAGTTTTTCTGGCATGACTTAGAGAGAGAACATGATTGTCTAAGTTACTTTTTGATTGTAGGAGTCAATTATTTTGATTCTACATACACATTAAATCACTCCCAGTATAGTTAGTGTAAACCATTCTGTTCTTAATGGAAAAACCACAGAATTCAATGAAGTACACTTGGGAGAGACAAAAGGCCTCAAGCTGAGAAAAGCAGAGTTGGGTTAACTTGGGAAAATATTTAGTCTTCATACAATGTCAGAAAATGGGTTTTGCTTCCTTATGGGTGGTACTGTTAGATGAAATCTACGGCTTTATTCATTGTTCTATTACAGGCTCGCCTCGTGGATGGGAAAGGAGTCCCTATACCAAATGAACTCATCTTCATCCAGGCAGATAAAGCTAACTATCACTCTAATACCACCACTCATGAGCATGGCCTGGTGCAGTTCTCCATCAACACCACTAATGTTACGGATCCCTCCCTCACTGTCACAGTAAGTTTGGAACAGAGATTTAATAAACAAGGAGAAGAATTGGTAACAGAGATGCAACCCAACAGTGCTTAGCTCAAAGAAAAGAAATTCATATTACAAATTGCTTTATTTTAAGGTGAAATATAAAGGTACTACATGAATAACTGGCCAAATATCTGCCCATACCATAAAGACATTCTTTAAAATATTAGATGATGTATGTATTCTCAAATTCATTACCTCAAAATATGATGTTCACCGTCTCAACCAATAAGCCTTCATTGCATACTTGCAAAACTAGAACTGTGCTAGTCCCTGGTAAGAAAAATGCTTGTCTTATTCTTTTGAAGCTCCTGTCACTGATGGTAAGAAACTCCATAAGGATTGCCTGTGAGTAATGCCTGTGAGGGTTTTAATCAAGGTATGGACAGTGTAGACTAAGGAGAGGAGAGTCTTTTGAGGGTATTAGTAAAAGAGGAAGATGCATCTGACCTATTGGAGGAGCAAATGCTAAATGAGAGCACAGGTATAATTGCCACTCAAATAACTCAAGGATACAGAGCTTGCAGAGACCTTCCAAAAGTAGTCCATGACACCACAGTAGTGTAAACTTTACCTATGAATACTCTCTGCCATTTATTTCTACAACTTTAATTAGCCCAACTAGATAGAGACATCTGCTTACTGTAAGTTGCCAATCTATCAGTTATTCACCTCAATGAGATTTCCTAGTTCCACTAGTTCTGGTCTGTCTAGACAAACAGCCTAAGCAAAAGACAGATACATTTCATTTTTTTTTATTCATAGGTTATAAATATTTCCCCCATATATTCTGAAAATTAGAGATAATGTCAGTTCATTTATTTAATCAACAATAAGAGGGAATTTTTCCCCATTTTTACTAAACACAAAATTCCTAACTATTCAGTCAGATAGAAGAGTAAACTCAAGCGGCTCAGAAGAGCTCTTTTTTTTTAACACGCTGTCTACAATGAGTTTCCTTTTGATCCTCCAGGTCTACCACAAGGAACAGGGTTTCTGCTTTAGGTACTACTGCATGACAAAAAAACATCAAGAAGCGTATCACACTGTTAATCATGTTTTCTCCTTAAGCAAGAGCTATGTCTACCTTGAGCCTGTGGCTGGCACCTTGCCCTGTGGCCAAATTCAGACAATTCAGGTGCATTCTAGTCTGAATGGACATGTCTTAGCGTTGCTGAAGGAGGTCGTCCTCTATTACCTGGTGAGTACTGACTCTGAGTTGAGGAACAGAAAGAAGCTTCCTAGGAGGCCAAACATTATGAATTCTCCTTTGATTCTCAACCATACCTCTTTTGACACTTTAACTGAATATCACCACCTGAGTCTCAATGATGAGTATATTAATGGGGGGATGAACCTCATGGTAAGCATAGTAATGAACTGAGAAAATACTTTTTATTTTAAGATTGTGGCCAAAGGAAGCATCATCTGAGCAGGGACCCATGTTCTCCCCATAAGGCCAGGAGAACGTGAGTGCTCCCAGTTCATCAATCCATCTCTGACTCTGCTCCCTACACACTTCCCAATGGATCCCCACAACTGAGCAAAATAGGGGTGCTATGATGCTTGTGTATCACCATGAAACATTCTCAACAGCCATGGTTAAAGGTGTTTAATATGGGTTATGATATCATTAACTTAAAGACAGGAAAATCTAAAACATCTCACACTGAACATAACCAACACCATTAAACACCTGTCTCTGGGGCTGGAACATCTGAAAACATAAAATATTTCTAAATATACCTGAAATGAATAATCCATGTAGCCAAATGAGAATTAAAAAGGCAAACTGTATTATTTCAATTTCTTTTTCCAAAAAGATCTAGAGGCCACCCACTTTGAACCTTGACCATTCTAGCCACACCAAATTTCAAATAAAAATGATTAGGAAGACCAGACTATAAAACATAGTAGATGGGAGATCACGATATAACAATTTCAGGGAGGAATAAAAACTTGGGGAATTTAATGCAGATTAGTTATTCTCGCACCCCCTATTTGACAATCATGATTTTCCATGTCAATGACCTATGTATCTTGTTTGCTCATGTTTATAAAGTTTCCCTGAATGTTATTCAAATAAATGTAAGTATCTTCTTTGTCATCAAACATTTCTTCCTACCTCATTACTGACCATTCCCTAAGAATGCTTTTCCTCTAAGTATCTATATGGTTAACTCACCTATTTCAAGGCTTAACCCATTGTCACTTTCTCAGTTAGGCCTATCCTGGCTGCCCTTATTGTAATCTACCACCCCACTCTGGTGTTCCCAGTGCTCTTTTCTCCATAGAATTTATCACATGTAAACATGCTATCTATAAATTACCTGTTTATTCTATTTATTTACTGTCTTTTTCTTTCCAGTACAATTTAAATAGCACATGGGCAGAGATTTTTGTTGGTTTTGTTTCACAGATATGTACCAGCTGCCTAGAACTGTGCCTGATACATAGATGCTCAACAAATGTATTGATATCCTTGTTACCCAATTTTAGCTATTTAATAAAAGTTTGAAATAAATTCCTAAGGCATGCTAAATAGAAATCATAAAGTACATCATTAGGAGATCATCCTCAAGTTGGCCTAGAGCATAAAGAAGACTTCCAAAATTGCATAATTGTCACTGAGGAAATGTTAAGTGCTATAAAAATGTGGTTCACACAAGAGGTTTTCAAAAGCTGTCTACGCACATTTGTAAGTGTTGACTGCTCCACTAAATTAGGCTATAATTTAGTTCCATCACTGAGTTCCATCATTGCCAGATTATCATCTTCTATTTCCCCCTGCTCTAATCTGAGTTATAAATGTAATAACAAAAAGGTGGTTTCATTACTTGATACAAACAATAACTTTCTAGCTGATGACATTAGGCTTGCTAAGGTTTAAAACAGACAGGAAATCACTACATTATTAACCAGAGGGATAAATAACATGGATGAAATTTTCAAGAGTAAAGATTCTTGGCGGAACATATCCTGCACTACTCTTTTCATACCTTTCTCAGACCATTAGCCAATAACACCCAAGCCGTTCATCATGGAGAGATGTAGCCATGTCTTCAGTGTGAGCCACAGTTCGCAAAATTCCAACGTGTCCAGCCATTTGGGTTTTCCTGCCATTATCCTGGCCGGTGACCATTTCCTCTCACTCTCTCTGTGCCCCAGCGAAAGGCCACATCTCCATGTCAGTTCCTGTGGAGTCAGACATCGCTCCGCTTGCTCGATTGCTCATCTATGCCATTTTACCTGATGGGGAATTGATTGGGGATTCTGCAAAATATGAGGTTGAAAATTGTCTGCCCAACAAGGTAGGTGATTTATATTTTCATAAAATTTTTAAAATCTTTCTGAAAAAGCCATGAGACTTGGAAAGACATAGTTTATTTTCTAGATGAGGAGATGGAGGCCATGGTAACAGAGTAACTACTGCAAGGTCATATGGTAATTTAATAGCATTCAGTGCATTCTTTTTAAGTCCCATCCTAGTCCACATTCTAGCATATTGTATTTTATTATTTTTGTGTGTGTGATAAGATCATACATCATACATACAACATAAGATCTATCCATTTAGCTAATTGTTAAGTGTATATACAATACAGTACTGTTAATTATAGGCTATCTGCCATACAGTAGGTCTATAGGGCTTATTCACCTTGATACTGAACTCTGCCTTCTTTAATACCTCCTGCTTCCCGTCTCAACAGCTCCTCCTGGCAACCTCCCTTCTACTCTGCTGCTTCTATCAGCACATTTTCAATCACATTGTGCAACCCTTAAAAATCAACCATCCAGAGCCATCCCTTCATGAAATGGGAAGCATAAAGTGATAAATAAATGGTAGATGATAGATTTATATCATACCATGTATTATCTTTATATTTAGAATGACATGGAGCAGTAGATCAAATACGTAATTGGTCCTTAAAAATAAGTAATTAACAAGCATATATTTCACTCCAAGCATTCATTTGTTGTGTCAGAGTATCAACGGCCTGTACACTAACCGATCGATAAACCTTGGTGAAGGAAAGGCAACCAAAGAGCCTCAGGACTATCTGACAATCAAAATTTGGCAAATCAAGAGTGATGTGTGTTGAATATGCAGATAACAAAAATGTGAGGGCCTTTAGGACTGTAATACCAGGTAGGTTACTAGCCTGATTCCCGCCCCTGCCCCGTCTCACAGGGGGGTTTGCACTTCAGCCCAGCACGCAGCCTCCCCGCCTCGCCGGCCCAACTGCGTGTCACAGCCTCCCCTGGGTCCCTCTGCGCCCTGCGCACCGTGGACCAAAGCGTGCTGCTCCTGCGGCCCGAGGCTGAGCTCTCGGCGGCCCAGGTGAGTCCCGCCCGCGGGGCCAGCGAGGGCCCCTGGCTCAGGACAGAGAAAAGCCCCTGTTCAGAGAATTTTAAATGTTTTCCGTTTGTTTGGGAGTTAAAAATTATCAAAGTCCTTCAACATATGTTATCTTATTCAATGCTTCTGGCATCTCCAAGACATATTTATTAACTTAGAAATGTGTTTGTTACACTCTTAAACTTCATAAAACAATTTCAAACTCTTCACATTAATTTAATGCCACCATTTTCACCTTAATCTAATTTTCTTCCAGAGTATATCATCTTCATTTCCACCTAAGTTGTCTGAATGTGACACTTTAACAGTCTATGTTTATGTCTTAGCTGGCCATTTTACCTCAAAGAGTAGTGCAGATTTACATAGAAATAGGCTATTTGAGTGTTTTATTTTTCATTCTTTTTATAGGCGTATATTCATGACCTTCACCATATAAAAATGTATTGCATTTTTTTTAAAAGATTTGATTAGAGAAATAATCTTTCTCAAGGACTCTTGGGAAATGTAGCTATTTCAAATATTTTGTTTCTTGAGAATTTCATTTTTATATTAATTTAGTCTGACTTCTAACATCTCTTAAAAATAAAGTATTATGAATCCTAAATCTTTACTTCTGAGCAAGAAGTTTACATGAAGAGAAATTTTTGGATGTTGCATATTTCAAAGGTGGAGATACAAATGCTTTTGACTATTTTTGGACTTGGGAAGTTGCATAATACTAATGGGTTTCCAGAAAGACTGTTTAGTAAAGCCTGTAAATAGCAATAAATAATTCTTAGTTTGTGTAATTCAAAAGAGTTATTCAACAAATAGCACTATTTCTCCAGAGTCCTTGAGGAAATCATTGCTGTAATCAACTCTTTAAAAAAAAAGCAATAAAGTAAATGTTTATATGGTGAAGATCATGAATATACATCTATAAGAAGAAAGAAAAACAAAACACCCAAATAGCCTATTTCTATGTAAATCAGTACTACTAGAAACCTGAAGTAAAACAACCAGGTAGTTTAAAGTGCCACATCTCAGACAACGTAGGTGGACCTAAGTATATAAGAGAATACCCTATACAATGAAAAACTTTGTAAAGAATAAAATAGAAAGTGAGACTTTCTTGTCTGAGCAATAATTTGGTAGAAGAAAGAAAACCTCATTTTGAGCATATATGGGATAACTGAAACTTTGGGATGATCATTGGATAAAAAGTTGTGGACTTCACCTCCCATGAAAAATGTCTTGAATTACACTGATGTGACTGAGATGATATGTGATGATTCATGTAACTACTTAGAACAGGGTGCTCACTTTTCATCCTATATGTAAGGGTAAATGTAAGTGGATATATAAACCCTTTGAATAATGGCAAGATTGCCTTGTGCTCATTTGGATTACAAACCTAAATTTGTGTGCTCCTTGAGGGTAAGACTCACAAAACTCATTATATTCTTTCACACAGTAAAATTCTATCACTGACTGATATTATATTATTAGCATGTATTATTAAATTCATATTTAATATGCACTCTATATATTTTTATATTATAAATATATCTCAAGCTTAAGGTCTAGAATTTGTCTTTGAACTCACTTTTTAATGTTCCTGTTACTCTTGGGTGCTTGGAATATGTTTAGTCTTTTCTTGAACATGGTAAACACCTTTAGAACAAAACACTGTTTAAAAGAAAATATCCACAAAAAATCCCTTTTGTAGATCATAGACACACTCGAGAAATGATTGGTATGATTACATTTGGTTATTTTCTTTTCACTGGATAGGAGCCAAGAAAGAACAAGGAAGAGTTTTTCCCTTTTTTCCCCATTTTTTATAGGTATATAGTCTGCTGCCCGGGAAGGACATCACTTATATCATTCATAGTTTAAGTCAGCGGATAGAAGACCAAAAAGACTGTATCAGACCTAATAATGTCTCTATTGATAAGTACTCTGCTGTATCCCACAGCACAGAAGAGGATGTTTACAGCTTCATAAGGGTAAAGCCCATATTATCTATTAATAGTCTGCCTTTTGCTTATTCAGGGTTAATAGAATATTAATAAAGAATATTCAAAAGTGCCCAGTCTGGGTCTTTGTTTTTCTGCTGAGGAAACTGAGGCAGAGAGCTTAAGTGACCTGCTGAAGTAACACAGCTAAGTGTAGCAGAGACAAGACTCCTCTGGTTATGAATCCCATGTTCCTTTCAATGTACCCTATGGCTTTACAGCACTGACTTCACAGTACTCAGCTTTCCTATGCGGAAGAGTATGAGCAACAATTATTGAGGAGCCTTTCAAAGAACAAAACTGTATTATTCCACTATTGCCTTGAGCATTCTGCAGCTCTTCTTGGTTCTGGAAGATGATAATGCCATGGAGCAGTTACTATGAGTTTTATACAAAGTAGAGTTTTAATATAATTTTTAAATGTTTAGGTTTGATTTGGTCATCATTTTCTTTCCAGGACATGGACTTAAAGGTATTCACCAACTTAAAGCTCAAACACCCCAAATTTTGTCCTGAAGAGAGAAGGTTCCATCAACCAGGTAAAATAACAAATCAGTTTGTGTTTTGAATTAAGGGAAATAGTAGTTATTTAGCCAAGATGATAAAAATGAAATGGTAGAGCAAGCATAATACAGGTTCATATCAAAGGGAAAGAACCCAAGATTACATGGGTCAAATTAATTGCCCAAAGTCACAGAGACAGTAAGTGGCAGAGCCAGGACCAGAGCCAGTGATTTTGTTTGCATTGTCACCAGTAAGCAAGAAAAATAGACAATAAGATAAAATGTAACAATTATTATAATAAGTGGACAGAATACACACACAAGAGCAATTCTGTGAGTCTGAAAAAAATTTTCATAGAGATGTGTCACATGGAATGAAAAGAATTTTGGCAAGGAGAGAAGAAAAAAACCACTTCCACCAAAGGAAAGAGTATCAAAAGAAAAGAAATAATTTTTAAGTCAAATCACATTACAAATGAAGTAGACTAGCTACTCTTCCTAACCCCATCCTAAATTGTTTAAAAGTATTGTCTTCTCGAGCTACTTACTGTCTGAGCCCATGGTCCGTCATTTTTCCCCTCTGATTCTACCCATTCTTTTGAACATTTTCCAAAATATCATCTGGCAATACATTACCCATTGGCATATTTTTTTTAAAAGACCAAGTAGGAGCCAAAAGTCCTGATATGTGGCATCAGACACAACAATCCTCTTCTCTAAGCCTCAGTGTTATTAGTAAAATAAGGGAATCAAAACAAATGTTCTTTAAATATCCCTCTGACATTATACAATAATATGATGTAAGGTATTCATATGATGTGATTACTAAGGGCAACTTAAAGAATCATTTCCTAAGCAAAATTTAAGTACTAGTCTGTAAATAAACTCATGGCACAGCTCTGTAAATAAACTTACGCTTTCGAAACAGCATTCCTATTTTCCGAAATACACCCTTATAAAATGCATTTCAAATATTAGAGGACACAGATTTTGAACATGTATTTCTCAAAGTAGGTCACAAGGATAGATATATAATTTATCTGTAGAAAGATACTATTATAATAAAGATATTATTCTTTACCTATAGAAAGATATTACTATAATAGAGATATTATTATCTATAGACACTAGATTTATAAATAAGGAATAAAGGAAAAGAAAATGATAATGGGAGTCCACTCCAAAATAGACTATATTCAACACAGGTAATTTTCTAGGATATGCAAGTTGACCAGAATTAGTGTGATTTTTATATTTTATTACTATTTACTGAAAGCTAAAAAAGTCCACAGGTATGAATACAAAAGAATGATGAAGCTCTAAAACAGGTGTAATAGATGGAAAAAGGGTATCAAGAACAGTCATTTCTGAGATGGATGTAGAACAATGTCGGGTATATACAATAGTGCAGTATGAGATAATCTGTAATCCCTAGGGAAATTCCTTGGAGTAATATTGGTTGACATCTTTATGAGAAACCACATACTACATTCAGACATGACACTGTACAGAGTAGATAACATAGCTCTTGAGAATGACCTAAAGAAAGACTATGGTAGCAGGACCAAGACCAATAAAGGGGTATAAAAAGCTGAGCTAGTTAGTGATAGAAATAAAATACAGATATACTCTAAGCATGAAAAATAAAATGTCATAATTTATCACTTTTTGTCTGTGAATAGTAAACAATAAAAGAAATAAAGTATTTCTGAGGGGAAATGATTAGCTCATCTTGACTCCATCTGAACAGTAAATAGAAAATCATTGGATGCTATTTTATGGACAACAAGGCACATTTCTAAATTGTTTAAAAGTATTGTCTTCTCGAGCTACTTACTGTCTGAGCCCATGGTCCGTCATTTTTCCCCTCTGATTCTACCCATTCTTTTGAACATTTTCCAAAATATCATCTGGCAATACATTACCCATTGGCATATTTTTTTTAAAAGACCAAGTAGGAGCCCAAAGTCCTGATATGTGGCATCAGACACAACAATCCTCTTCTCTAAGCCTCAGTGTTATTAGTAAAATAAGGGAATCAAAACAAATGTTCTTTAAATATCCCTCTGACATTATACAATAATATGATGTAAGGTATTCATATGATGTGATTACTAAGGGCAACTTAAAGAATCATTTCCTAAGCAAAATTTAAGTACTAGTCTGTAAATAAACTCATGGCACAGCTCTGTAAATAAACTTACGCTTTCGAAACAGCATTCCTATTTTCCGAAATACACCCTTATAAAATGCATTTCAAATATTAGAGGACACAGATTTTGAACATGTATTTCTCAAAGTAGGTCACAAGGATAGATATATAATTTATCTGTAGAAAGATACTATTATAATAAAGATATTATTCTTTACCTATAGAAAGATATTACTATAATAGAGATATTATTATCTGTAGACACTAGATTTATAAATAAGGAATAAAGGAAAAGAAAATGATAATGGGAGTCCACTCCAAAATAGACTATATTCAACACAGGTAATTTTCTAGGATATGCAAGTTGACCAGAATTAGTGTGATTTTTATATTTTATTACTATTTACTGAAAGCTAAAAAAGTCCACAGGTATGAATACAAAAGAATGATGAAGCTCTAAAACAGGTGTAATAGATGGAAAAAGGGTATCAAGAACAGTCATTTCTGAGATGGATGTAGAACAATGTCGGGTATATACAATAGTGCAGTATGAGATAATCTGTAATCCCTAGGGAAATTCCTTGGAGTAATATTGGTTGACATCTTTATGAGAAACCACATACTACATTCAGACATGACACTGTACAGAGTAGATAACATAGCTCTTGAGAATGACCTAAAGAAAGACTATGGTAGCAGGACCAAGACCAATAAAGGGGTATAAAAAGCTGAGCTAGTTAGTGATAGAAATAAAATACAGATATACTCTAAGCATGAAAAATAAAATGTCATAATTTATCACTTTTTGTCTGTGAATAGTAAACAATAAAAGAAATAAAGTATTTCTGAGGGGAAATGATTAGCTCATCTTGACTCCATCTGAACAGTAAATAGAAAATCATTGGATGCTATTTTATGGACAACAAGGCACATTTATCTGGTGAACAAAGAAGCCAAAAAAAACCTTCATGTCAGGAGAAACACAGGAAACTATTATCAGTGGAGTTAGCCAATTTTTTACTGAACAATAATACGTAAGACTGGATACTTGTAAGGAGATAGGGCAGGACTCTGACATTGTCATGGAAGATAATAAGAAAAAGGAGAGTGATCACATTACAGAGGAAGATTAATTGCTTGTAAAATTTGTTTTTAAATTATAAACCAAAGCTTGTAATTGCTGTTAATAGCAGTAGCTTGTAAAAGCTGGAGAAATTGGAAATAAATGTGCTAAATAAATAAATGCATCCATGCAAGATGCATTAGGACTTTCCTAGGCCCCAGATATTCCTGCCCATGGGGGCCCCTACTTTCATAAAAAAAGAATTAAAAATTATTTTGTAACTATGTTGGCAAAAGACAAATATCATTCAGTCTGGATTGTACCTATTTTTTTCATCTTGATTTGAGAAGAAATTAAAATATTTTCATGGGTTCCTAAAAGCATTAGGGACCTTAGGCACTGTCCCTGCTGTATATACTGGATAAATTAACTTACCTGCAGAAACTGAAGCTACTAATTGGAGGACTGAGACATTTGAAAACTGTGGAATGAAAGTTAAGTAGAAAGTCAGAGGCCAAGGTAAGAGGTCAGTGGCCATTTAGAGAGAAAGGCCTAGAGAAATGAAGCATATAAGGGCTGGGGAAACAGTTGCTGTAATGTGTCTCATTTTATCTGTTCTTCACAAGTTAGTTCTGAAAACAAATCAATTCAAGAAGAAAATACTCAAAAGCCTTAACTCTGAATCTGTATATAGACATGTTCTAAGAAAAGGCAGACCAAAAACCTCATTTACTAGTTGCAGGATTTTCATTTTCTGCAATGCCAAACCAATGTATGATTCTTGTGCCACAATTTTCCATTGCCTCACCAAAGAAATACACTTGATAGTAACTTTTCCCTTTTGTTTGTTTTTGGTTAGGAAGTTTGTACTTTCCCTTTCTTACCTTTTCTACCAATTGAAAACAGAGTCAAAGTATTGAGTTTGATTCTATTGATTTACAGAAAGAATACACTACAAGAATCTCTCTACTAATATGTTGGCTTGTTCGGCTCTGGTCGTTAGTTATTCAAATGATTCCTCTTAAAGCCACACTTGCCTGAAAGTGATATTATGGTTCTTGCTTCCGTCTAAGTTACAAGTTCTACTCTCTTTTTGGTAACCCTCCCCAGCTATCCCAACCCCAAAAATACATACTGTTTTTCTGTCGATGCTAGATTATGCTTCCTCCAGTATTTTGCCATTTGTATTTTTGACAAAGATTCTACTCATCCAGAAAATGACTGACCTGGCACATTGTTTTCAGTGCAATTGTCATAACATTTTAATTTTAGTCAGAAAACTAAATATTTAGCCACATTATTCATTTGTGTCATATTGTATGGAAATATCTTCTCAAAGCAGTATATCCTTTTCTTGCACTGTCATATCCATAGTGGCACTTCCTTTTGTGAAACAGAATGAAGTGATTGAAAATTTCCATATACAGCCGTTCACTGAGACTGTACGAAACTATTTCCCTGAAACCTGGATCTGGGACTTGATAGTAGTCAAGTGAGTAACTTCCATTTTTACCACTTGCTTTAGATGTGAAAACATGACTTCATTACTTCCAACTATTTTTCTAATTAATTTCTGTCATTTCAAGACAGGACTAAGCTAATTTATAAAACATTGGTCTAATTATAACAACTCACCAATTACAGACATATTTGTATTCCTGGCACTTCCAGAAAATGAACACAGTGACTAATGTCATCTGGGTTTCTAATGTTTAGCACCATTCAAGGACACTATGTTGACAACAAACAGGAAGCAATCCTACATGGAGCAAACCATTTTTAGAATTATTACTTATAAAATTTTCAGATGGTATTTTGGAGAGGGAAGTTCAGTGACACCTGCAAATCCATGTTCTCATGGATTTGTACAGATTTCTAATGGTAGTAGACTTGAAGGTGGTGTGGGAGGCATGACCATGGTTGGGGAAATAGGGCCATTGAAATGCCTTCCATTTGTCCATCTTGGGCCCTGATTACACTCTTAATGTCTGGGTCACACTCATCAGTTACCATCTTAGAAATAACCGACTTTCTGGCTCACTTCCTGTTCTCCACATTGCCGTCCTCCCAGCTCCTCAGGTGTGGCTGAAGTCGGAATAAGAGTCCCCGATACCATCACTGAGTGGAAGGCAGAGGCCCTCTGCCTGTCCAATGACACTGGGCTTGGTCTCTCTCCGACTGCTTCTCTCCAAGCCTTCCAGCCCTTCTTTGTGGAGCTCACAATGCCCTACTCTGTGATCCGCGGAGAGGCCTTCACACTCAAGGCCACTGTCCTTAACTACCTTCCCAAATGCATCCGGGTAAGGACTCCCTCCCCCAAATTAAGCATTCACAAAAGATTGGGTTTGGCTCAGAGCACCTCTTCCAGATCTCTGAGCTATCCCAGCTCCAATTATGTATATTACCACACCAGTAATGATCAGGTTCAAAGTAAGAAGGGACATAACAAGCACATTTTTTCAAAAAAAAATATATAAGACACTTGTGAAATCTGCAAACTCCAGATCTCAATTTTATTTTGTTTCTCATGTTTTCAAAACTATTTTATTATAACCTAGGCTGAGAGCCTAAAAATGAGATAAACCAGTACTGTTCAGTCCCATTATTTAGATTTTCTAAGTCTTCCTCTAAATCCCTGACACTTTCTTTGTACTTTTTCTCAAACATGAATTGCATTTAACTATATGTAACTTAATTCTCCCTGGGCATCTTGTATGTCCTGCCAGCAAAAACACCTTGAGGACAGGAGCCACTTACAGCCTAGAAGTGTCCTGGAAGACACTCAAGTTGGACTATAGCCACAAAATAAGCTGGGAGAATTCTCACGAGTCTAAGCTAGTAGATAAATTTCCTCAGGGAAACATGCTGTGCTCAACTTTTCCTATCCTGCACTATTGGCACCAAAACAAAAAAGCAAATAAATATGCGTATATTTCTATTAAACATTCATAAATGTATGTTTTCTATATAAAGTTTGTACAACTTTTTTGTGTAAATAGCCTCGGCTTATGTCATTTTCAACCCCATGCTTTCCAAAAGTGCTCCTCCATGTCCCCATTTAACACCTAACTTCACCCCAGGCTCTTTCACTTACCCCATCCTATACATCAACTTGTTGCCTTTTGAAACTCATACCTTTGTGCCTCTCTGTCCCTTGTGGGGCTACAGGTGAGTGTGCAGCTGCAAGAGTCTCCTGACTTCGCAGCTATCCCTGTGGACAAAGACCAAGATTCTTACTGCCCCTGTGCAAATGGGAGACAGACTGTGTCCTGGCTGGTAACTCCCAGGACACTAGGTGAGTGAAAGCTCTCTCAAAGATGATGAATATAGGAAAGTTTCTTAAATTAGGTTCTCCTCTTTGGGGTCCACAAACACTAGATTCCAGGTGCTTGCTGTTTCTGGACCTATACTTGTGAGATCCTTCAATAAGGAGCAAGTCTTGGAATTGCTCATGGAACATAGGATGCCTTGTGGATCTTGGGAGTGTAGAGACTACCATGGGACCTCCATACTTAGATGGATTGTTTGTTTGCTGGGATCTTTTTTTAAATGGATTTCCTTTGTTTCAGGGAATGTGAATTTCTCTGTGAGTGCAGAAACACTGCAGACCTCAGAGCTCTGTGGTACTGAGGTGGCTACGGTTCCTGAAATTGGGAGAAAAGACACAGTTGTCAAACTTCTATTAATTGAGGTGAGTAAGCCTGTCTTGTTTGATAGCCATGATGAGTCCAGAAAATGGTAGCAATACTATCTATAATCTTTGGGTAAAAGAAGAATGAATAATAATATGAAAAAAAAGAATTTTACATGACCTCAGTATACTTCACAGCATATGACAAGTTTGGTGTTTTGTTTTTGCTCTTGCCTTTTAGCCATTTTCCCAGTAGCTGAAAATTTAACTGGATAAATTTTGTACCTATTTCTTTTCCTTCATCACACCTCTCGCCTCTGTTCCCCTCACTTGTTTCTCCCTTTTCTCTTAATTATCCTTCTTTATTCTTGTCTCTGTCACCTGGGGTCCTCCAAACTTCTCATACTTCCAGGTTTTTACTGCTGTAATGGAAATTTGCAGTCATCTAACTCAAGCCCATCACTTCACAAGTAGGGAGGATTTAATACCCACTTATAACCCACATTGTTTTTTTTACTTGGAAGCTCAATCCCTTCTCATCTCTCTTCTCCTTCTTTCCACCCAAGCCTGAAGGAATCAAGCAGAAATATACCTTCAACTCCTTACTCTGTGCATCAGGTTCATTCAAAACAGCAAGAAGAAGATGGCAGCACTTATATTACAACAAATTATTTTCTGTATAAATCATCTCATTTGGTTTTGCAATATTCCTAGAATATCCCAGAAGTTGGGACAATAAGTACCTTATGCACATTAGACAAACAAGAAAACTGAGTCATCAGATCAAGTTTCTTCATTGTGTTAACATAGCTATTAATAGTACATCAGGGTTCAACTAAGATGTTTTTGTTTTTCATTTGTAGCTCTTTTTTTAGAGTATAGGAATTTCTTTATCCAGCACATACAAGGGCTTAGAAAGGGACCTCAGGAATAGCCACGAAGAGGTCAAAATCAATGTCTAAGCTAATGGAGTGTGTCTAAGCTAATGGAATACGATAGAGAATACTTGGTGAAGGAACATATATTTCTGACCTTAGAGCTTATATAAAAACTAAGTTTTTATGACCGAAGACATTCCACACATAACCTGTACCAAGTCATGAAAATACAGTTGTCATAGTATTTTTCTCTCATTTTTGCGATATTACTTGCTCTTTTACCACTGTATACTGAACTCATTTGAGAAGAGGCTGTAAGAATTTATCATAAAAGATTAATCTCCCACTGAATGCAAGCTTAACAAGAGCAGACATTTTGTCTATTTTTGTTCATGACTGTAACCCCAGTGCCTAGACCAGTGACTAGCACAAAGGGGTTGCTCAGTGCATATTTGTTAAAAGAATGAATGATGCTGCTTAAAAGGTTTTAATTCTAAGGCAAGTTCATACAGTAAAATCTATTATCTTAAAAAAATGTAACAAAGCAGAGGCCAGATAAAGTAGATAATTTAAACAAAAGTGAAACATCCTATTTATGCAGTACACCTAAAGAAAATTGTTTTACAATTATTGAAAGTTGTAAAAAGTTTTTGTATGAAAGGCAGAAGTTATGAAGAGAGTCACTGGAGATTAATAAAACTTGCTTATCTCTGAAATTCCCAAGAGTAGACTAGTAAAGGATATATTCTTATCATTGTTTTCCTGAAGCTTCATCATTACAAACTAATCTACCTCCCACCCATCCCACACAGGCACCTATATCAAGGACTTCCATGAAAGTAATATCCCTGAGTAGTGAGTGAAACCTACTGAGATCAGAGCAACAGAGAGCAGTTACCCTAGAGCAGCAAAGAACCATGTTTACTGTGTCCATTCATGTATTCTTGTATGTTGGATATCTAGTCATTCATAAACTAAAACTTGAAGCAAAAAAAAATGCATTATCTTCATACAGCTATAAAACATTTTAAGAAGACCTCCATAGAATTAAATAAGCATGTATCACAGAAAACTGGTAGCCCTCTTTTGGACAGCTGCTGTGCATTTAATGCAATGGATAATAAAAAAGGATAAGACATAGCTTGGCAAGCCACACAATACCAGCAAATGTAAATTTGGAGTATTAAAATCGAGGTCATTTTTTAAGGAGGTAGCACGTCTAAGGTGCATTCCCAAAACCACTGGCCTTGGGATTTTTCAGAAAAGTAGTCACCATTGATAATCTTCTTTGGATCTTACTTGTTTGTTTATCTAGATGTTGGGGTGTCTGAAAAATTGTCCCTGAAGCTCCCACCAAAAGTAGTGGAAGAATCAGCCAGGGCCTCTTTCTCAGTTTTGGGTGAGTCACTCTACCCCTTAAGAACTTGCGACAATAACCAACCCACTCTCTCCGCTTTTTTCAAATCCAACTTTTAACTATACTTCATCTCTTCAATCTTTTTTCATATCTCTATTTTTTCCCTTCAATTTCTACTTGGTTTCTGGCCTGACCCTCCATGCAAGTTATAATTCCTCCAAGCCAGCTTTCGAATGACCTAAATATCGGAGTCTTTTGTTCTTAATGATATCGGCCTGTTACCAGTGTTCCGACTTCTCATCTTCCGTTCCCAGGTGACATTCTAGGCGGTGCCATAAAAAGCACACAAGATCTCCTCCAGATGCCCCACGGCTGCGGAGAACAGAACATGGTCCTGTTTGCTCCTAATATCTATGTACTGAAATATCCGAATGAAACACAACAGCTGACTGAGGAGATCAAGTTCAAGGCCATCAGCTACCTCAGTACTGGTAAGGGACAGAAATCTCACTTTGTCACTGTAAATGTTCTCTGCACAAATAGGCTTAACTCGCTGGCAAGAAGAGCACTGCTGCTGGGGGTCCAGAGTGCCGAGGCGGCCAGGGCGTACCGGTGCCCCGGGCTCGCACGTTTCGGGATCCTCTCCTTCTCTGATGTGCTGCTGCTCCTTCCTGGGCCATCAGAAACCTTCCATTCCAGGTTATCAGAGGCAGCTGAGCTACAAACACAGAGACGGTGCCTATAGTGCCTTTGGGGACCAAAATGGCCGGAAGCAAGGCAACACTTGGTAAGAAAAGGGTTTTATGTGCCAGGCTTTGTACATGTATTGCTACTCATTCCTCAGGGAACCCTACACATTAGATATTAGAAACCTCTTCTTATAAGGGTAGAAACTTACACCCAGTGTTGAGTAAATGTCTCTAGGTTACACAAATAGTAAGCAGCAGAGCTGCGACACATCTGAAGGTTTTCCTGCCTTGACTCCTACATCCATTTTTGTTCTTTCTCATATTAAGACCCATCATAAGTAAAAAAAAAAAAATGGCCACTTTATTTTTCAGCATCCAAGGGTGACCAAAAATGGGGACTAGAAAAGCTACCTCCGCTCTTCACACTATCTTGTATTAAATGACACTGGTCATCTGAGACAAAACACACAGGCAAACGAGAGGTTTGGGTGTAAAGGAGATTGGTGGAAGGAGAGGAAAGAAAGATGTGGGGAAAAGTATTTAATTCTCCGAGGCAGAAAACACTGCCAAGAGGTTACTCCACATAGGAGGGTCTGCAGAAGAGGTGTTCCTCGTCTAGAGTAGAAAGGCAGTGAAAGGCAGAAAACCTAGTATGAGAGCAAACGTCTTAGTGAGCCACCAGAACACGGCAGGTGGAGCCTGGATCCTTGAAGCAACGAGAAAGTGAGCAAGGAGGGGAGGACCACTTAGAACCACACTGCCGAGGAGTAACAGCCAGCACAGCCTGAAGGAAGTGAGCGGTGTCGGGGATCAACAGATTGCCCCGCTACGAGCAGTCAGAACGCTGACTCGCACGAGTGTTGAGAGGGAGCCCGAGAACCTGTGCCTGTGAGGTGAAGGGGCTGCATGGGAACAAACGGCCTCGGCACCCACTCTTCCTCCCCTGCCAGGTTCACAGCCTTCGTGCTCAAGACTTTTGCCCAGGCTCGAACCTACATCTTCATCCATGAAGCACACATTACCCAAGCCCTCACCTGGCTCTCCCGAAAGCAGAAGGACAATGGCTGTTTCAGGAGCTCTGGGTCACTGCTCAACAATGCCCTTAAGGTGAGGGCTTTGTAAGCTAGGTCTGAACCTCCTGCCCTCCCTAATGGTAATTTGTCCAAGGGTGCAGGTATATTAGAAGAAGGTACACAGGAATCCCTAAAGGAAAGGACTGGGAAGTAAAGGAGGGCAATGATACGGGAGAATAAACCTGCATGCCGCTGAGGAAAACAAAGTGGAATCATGGGGGGAAATGGTACTTCACAGAGTGGAGACAGACATAAATTGAGAGGAACTTCCAGGGAACCAGGCAAGAGAAACAGCTGACCATGAGGAGTGGTCACCTTCACAAGGCCTTCAGAAGTGGAAGTAATCTCCCTCTCCCTCTTGCATCCAGGGTGGCTTGGAAGACGAAGTGACCCTCTCTGCCTATATCACTATCGCCCTTCTGGAGATCCCTCTCCCCATCACTGTAGGTACCACATCACTTCCTCAGCTTCCCAGACTGCTAAGAAACCAATGTCCTGTGGTTATAATCGTCCTTTAAATGCCAAATGCCAGCTTTCCATCTGCACAATACTAATGCATTTGCCAAAATGATAGAGACTTTGATCAATTCATCAAAGATTCACTTGCTCAGTAAGGACCTGGACTATGTGCCAAAGTTATCCTAAAGCATACGGTCTCCCACACCTCACCCTTATCCGTTTCATCTTAATTAGAAAGTAATTTTTTTTTAAGAGTGAATTCTGTTATGGGCTTTTTACCATGACCAAAAAAGAAATGAGTTCCAAAAAGATGGACAGGGAATGGATAGATAGATGGGTGGATCTGGAAAGCACTCGTTCCCCTTATCCTATGGTATTTATGTTTATTCCAGGACCTGCTAGGATACCCGTCCACATGACTCAGATGCCGTTGCTCTCCCTCCACAGCACCCTGTTGTCCGCAGTGCCCTGCTCTGCCTAGAGTCAGCTTGGACAAGCACACAGGAAGAGGTCCACGGCAGCCATGTCTACACCAAGGCACTGCTGGCCTACGCCTTTGCCCTGGCTGGTAACCAGGACAGGAGGAGAGAGATACTGAAATCACTTGATAAGGAAGCTATAAAAGAAGGTGAGAGCACACGTTAATTTTTTTTTCTCCCTACCCACTCCCACTAGATGGAAAATGAGAATATTGAATTTCTGAAAATTGCCTCCCTTTTTGGTCTACACCACTATAAATGCTGACATTTTTATGTAAACTCACCCACTAAGAGATCGATGCTCCTTTTGCATACAAACTTCCCCTGACATATCTTGTTGTAAAGAGAAGAAGACATGTAAAAGTAGTATCACAGGAGAATTCGGTGTTTCAATCTCCCCTTATTTACAAAAATAAATTTAGTTGACATATATACTTTTCTTTATGGTACATGAATATATATCAGGGTGAGTAGAAGCTACTAAGAGTGATAGCAAAGACACTGTTACCTATAATAAGAGCCTCCATATTTTACTATTTCTAATACAACTCTCTGAAATTAAGTGGTAGGTTTTATATCTCATTTCAACAAACCCTAAACGATGACCAGATCATTTAAGGTTGGGGGGGAGGTACCAACCAGTGAGGAAATCTCTACTAACTCTACTAGAACAATATTTGCAATAGCAGATCAATTCATAACTTATGAATTTCTGTCCTCAGTATTTCCCTCAACCACATAAGATAATATCAATTTGAGACTTTTATTCTGGGATCATTGATCTAGGGATATTATGTTTGAAGCAAAAAGCTTACTTCAACTTTTGTTAATTTCTTTCTTTCTAAATATAAACTTACAGCCATACATTAAATAGCAGTAGTTTTCATTCTTTCTTCATTCTTATCCTCTAGACAATGTAATACATTGGGAGCGACCTCAGAAACCTGAGGCACCAGAGCGGCATTTATACCCACCGCAGGCTCCCTCCACTGAGGTGGAGATGATGTCCTACGTGCTCCTCGCTTACCTCACGGCCCAGCCCGTCCCGACCCCAGAGAACCTGACCTCTGCAACGCACATTGTGAAGTGGATCACAAAGCAACAGAATTCCCATGGGGGCTTCTCCTCCACCCAGGTCAGGGGTTTGCCCAGGACTCTTCCCCTTTAGAGTCAGGGTGCAGCTGGGCGGCTTGAAGAAGAGACGAATGAGTAATAACAGGAGGAGAGAAAAAGGAGAAGAGCACATGAAACAAGGGAAAGCTTATTTATTTTGAGTCTGTAAGAAATAAGGAAAAGAGCCTAAAATGAACTGTCCCGAAATGAGTTGTCCTAGTCCCTATGTCTGCGGACTAGAGTTCTCTCCATACATTACTTACTAAAGGAGGGTTGCACCATACCACCTTTTGATCAGGAACTACAATCTTAATTTACAGAAATGACATAAATTCTGGAAAGTCTAGAATCCTAGAAGTAGTCTGTTAAACTGAGAGGCAGATTGCCTAAGAAATGATGTATGTACCAAAGGGACTCACTTTACAACTTCATGTGTCCACTGCATCAAGAAGCATCTCTTAGGCTTACTTACAAATTATCCTAAAGTGAAAATTGTTTTTCTCTACTCTCAACACTTCTGACAGGAGCTGCATCTAGTTAGCCCAGACCTCATAGGTCAAGGGCTCAGTCCCAGAAGACTGCCCCCACTTCAGATGCCAGTTGCAAGTCCAGGTCCCCTGCACTTCTGACCAACCAGCTATAAATCAGGCATTTTTGATAATTTGATAATTTGCTAGGATGCCTCACAGAACTCAGGAAAGCATTTAACTAATACAGGCACACCTCGTTTTGTTATGCTGTGCCTTACTGCACTTCACAGACATTGCATTTTTTACAAATGAAAGGTTTGTGGCAAGTCTATAGGCACCACTTTTCCAACAGTATTTGCCCAATTCGTGTCACATTTTGATAATTTTCCCAGTATTTCAAACTTCTTCATTGTTAATATTTGAATTACTGCATCTCTTGATAAAAACTTTCTATGATGAGGAGTTGCTTTTTATGGAAGAGCAAATAAAGAGGTTTCTTGAGATGAACCTACTCCTGGTAAAGATGCTGTGAAGACTGTTGAAATTACCATAAAAGATTTAGAATATTATGTAAACTTAGTTGATAAAGCAGCAGCAGAGTTTGAGATGACTGATTCCAATTTTGAGAGACATTCTACTGTGTGTAAAATGCTATCAAACAGCATCTCATGCTACAGAGAAATCATTTGTGAAAGGAAGAGTCACTTCATGTGGCAAACTTCACTGTTGAATTACTTTAAGTAATTATACCTTCAGCAACCACCACACTATTCAATCAACATTTAGGGAAAACCCTCACACCAGCAAAAACATTAAGACTCACTGAAAGCTCAGATAATAGCATTTTTAAGCAAAAATAAGTAATTTTTAATTAAAGTATGTACATTGATTATTTTTAGACAGCATGCTATTTCACATTTAATAGACATTTAAAGTATAGTGTACATTTAAAGTATAGTGCAAACATAATTTTTATATGCACTGGGAAACTAAAAAATTCACTTGACTTACTTTATTTCGATATTCACTTTATTGACATGGTCTGAAACCAAACGGGCAAGATCTTTGACGTGTGCCTGTACCAGTTTATTATAAAGGACACAATGCAGGAAAAGATGCATAGAGCAAGGTATGTGGAAAGGGGGTGCAGGGCTTCCATGCCTTCTCCAGGCACACCACCCCCCAAGCACCTGGAAGCTCTTGGAACCCATTGCTGGGTTACATACATACATAGGCATGACTGGTTAAATCATTAGCCCCTGGAGATTAACTCAATCCAGGCTTAAAGTTCTAATCCTCCAATCACAAGGCAGTTCCTCTGCCAACCAGCCCTCATCCTCTGAGAGTCACCTCATTAGCATACAGGAAGACACTCATCCCTCCAGAGGTTCCAAGGGTCTTAAAAGCCCTTGTAGCAGGAGCAGAATCCAAATATCTATTTCTGATTATGCCACAGATTCTCTTTGGATTTTCTTAAAAGTAACACAAACTCACACTTCCTGTCTCCATTCCCTACACTTGAGATCAACCAGGACTGTAAACCATTAACTTTATTATCCAGACACATCTAGTCCTATCAACTAGTATTTCTAAAAAAATACCTGTAACATAATACCTTGTCATTTCCACTCTCTGTATTCTGAGTGTACATTGTAGAATATATCTTCAGAGAAGTGTGGCAAAAAATGATGGACTTCTCTAACAGAGAGATGAAATATAGAGAAATGAAATGTCAATTATCTGTGCCACATGGTTTGCAGTTCACCTCATCCTCTCCATCTTCCCTCTGAAATGGATGATCTTCGTTATGATATTGAAACACCCTCTCTCCATGTTGGCTTTCTCTTTCTACACTATTGTCTGAATGACAGCGTCAAGACTCCTTTTTTTTCTATTTTGCTATCATTAATGTACAATTACATGAGCAACATTATGGTTACTAGACTCTCCCCATCATCAAGTCCCCCCCACATAGCCCATTACAGTCACTGTCCATCAGCGTAGTAAGATGCTATAGAATCACTACTCAAGACTCATTTTTAATAAGAAGTAATAGTTCTAAAAAGAAAGATTCTCTAGGGCAGGGACATTCTTATAGAATAGTATCGATAAAGAATGATAGACCCTAGGGAGGAGTGGAATTATATAAATTTTTCCTTTTCTTTGATTACAGTGCAGATCAGAGACCAACACCTGTTGATCACCTTCAAAGGCATGCTGAAAGTAGAAGTTTGGTGATAAGAGAGAACAAGCTATAGTTTTGTGGGAAGATGGTGGGTGTCAGAGGCAAAGGAAGAGGAACAGCAAGTCCTAGGTGACGAGCTCCCTTCATATATACATTTCCCACTTGCTGTGAGAGAACTTGCAAGCTCTAAAGCAAACTGTGTCAGGAAATTACATAAACTTTTTGATTCTGAGATATATCAAAGATTGAAATCAGTCGAAGTTTCCAGAGTTCAGATAATGAGGGAGAAAAGTCCATGGCAGCTTTGTAATAGTAAAAATGGACTTTGGGAAAAACCCAAGCCCCCAAATTGGCCCTATCCTGGACTTTCACACACCTCTCTTCTAGGACACAGTGGTGGCTCTGCATGCTTTGTCCATATATGGAGCAGCCACTTTTGCCGGAACTGGGAAAGCTGCTTCAGTGACCATCCAGTCTTCAGGGAAATTTTCAAAAAGATTCCAAGTGGAGAACACCAACCTCCTGTTACTACAGCAGGTCTCATTGCCAGACATTCCCGGAGAGTACACCATAAGTGTGTCAGGGGAAGGCTGTGTATACCTCCAGGTAAGACCCTTGGGTAAAGGTGGAGAGATTCAACTATAAACCTTCCTCCTGAAAGTGGAAACCATTTATTCCTACCTGGGCAATAAAAGGGCAAATCAAGAGAAATGAAATTGACAGATTAAAGGATTCTGTGGACTGGAAACTATTTCTATTCATAATATCCCCCAGACAGCTCTGAAATACAATGTTTTCTTGGAGAAGAAGGAATCTTCATTCAATCTGCAAATACAGACAATACCCCAAATTTGTGATGGACCTGAACCCCACAGAAGCTTCCAAATCTCACTACAAGTCACGTAAGAATATCTGTCTGTATTCTAGTTCCAAAAATAGTAGCTACCTAGAACTTTTGAGCACATAGATTCAAGGCCTAAAGGAACTCTCTTCATTAAGTTTCTGCCTTGTCAATGAAAAACTAAAATTAATGTCTTCACCAATGTGGACAATGAAGAGTTTATAGCTATGAGTTCAATTTTTCTGCTTCCAGGATTCTTTTATTACCTGCCACCACTGTTGAAGAATATATAATTTCTTCCAATAATAACATGGGCTCATTCTTCCTTATATCTAAAGGAAAGGCTCCCTAGTCTTTTTAAAATTCTGTCCTTCTACAGAAAAAAAATTTATAATTCACTAACACTCTTCAAAAGCTTTACTTGGAATAGAACAAGTAACTCTGGTTATATTATAAAATCTAATTGGGTCTCAGATTAAAAGAAAAAATAATATTCACAATTTGGTCCATCATCAATAAACAAATAAGTTAAATGTATAAGCAAAAAATACATTCAAGTAGCCACAGGGAGTATACATACAGGCATGGCCTCTTATAGCCTAGTTGTGTAGATAATTTTCATATTAAAAAAGATAATCATTTAATAATATGGGTAACTGTTGAATCACTGTATTATACATTGGAAACCAATATAAGACTGTATATCAATGATACTTCAATAAAAAAAGATAATCATTAAAAAATGCTATATTTAGTAATGTATATAATATCAACTCACTATGTTGCACATCTGAAACCAATATTGTATATCAATTATATTCCAATTTAAAAATACATATATATGTATATATATATATACATCTGTGTGTGTATATATATATTTATTTTTTTTAATGTATATTACCAGATTCCACCCCCAGAGATTTAATTCAGTATTTTTGGAGCTCTGTTCAGGCATCTATGTTTTTAATGAGCTCTACAGCTGATTCTGCTATACAGTCAGTTTTCAAAACCACTCATTTGACTGTTAAAGCTATACAGCATATTTCTAGGAATGGAAATATCACTGATGATAAGGCAGTAGTTAGGAAAACTACATAAAGATGCGAGGGCTTATGCTGGACCTTAAAGGAGGGCAGGAAGCAAAGCATAATGATACCTGTTTCTTCCCTGTGTCTACAGCTACACAGGGAGCCACCCCACCTCCAACATGGTGATTGTTGATGTAAAGATGGTATCTGGTTTCATTCCCTTGAAACCAACAGTGAAAATGGTAAGTAGATGCTAGATATTTGAATTTTCTACATCCCCAGCTAAAACCATACCAACAGCACCCTAAAAATGTCAACCTGCATCAAAGCAACACAGGCCCTAAACTAAGAAAATTAAATTTATTTGATACCAAGCATATGTTTAGCATTGTGCAAGACGCCAATACAAAAAATATAAGAAAGTTGTCTGAATTAATTAACCTATAGTCTAGTTAAGAATATTAAAAAATGGGTAATTGAAGCCATCAAGTGACATTTCAGGGCAAGATATAGTTAAGTATCAAAATTGTTGGTATAGTCTTCAAATATGTGGGAATTCAGAGAAAGCTGAGATCAGTGTTAGAGGAAGATACATCCATAATCTCAAATGAATAGTTTTCCAATTTGAGGATCATTGTCCCTCATCTTCAAACAAAAGCCAAGGATATCTATTAGTCAGTCGTATGAAGGTTCAGTCTTGAATCTAAGTGTTGGTGTTCACAGTTTTCTATGCCTGTTCCCATTCCAGTGGACAAGTATCTCCAAAACCATTTAAAGGAGTTTAATCTTGGCTTTTTTAATAAAGATTTCAGTCCCACAGTCCACTTGCCTCTTAGCACTCAAGGGCTTCATTTATTCAGTAACACTGGTGATTTCTCTTATTTTCCTCAGCTTTAACTGTCTAGCCATGTTAGCAGGACAGAAGTGAGCAACAGCAATGTCTTGATTTACATAGAACAGGTAAGGGCCCTGCAGTCCTGCTTGACACATCCAGGTAGGTGATCTTTTTAGGTGGGTCTCTTCACCTGGGAAGGACATGATATGGGAAGAACAATCACAAGGGAGCTTTTGGAAAAGCATATATTTTCTGTTCCATTAGATAATCATTTAAATTCTCATTCCTCATTGCAGGCTTTCCTGGAACTTGGGCTGTCAGAAATGAGGGTGTTTGAAGGAGGCCAGTGGAATAGATTTGTTCATATTAATATCAGAATATGAGTATTTCTGTTTACTTCAAGTAAACATTCTTTTTCACAAAAAGGCCTGGTCACCTAGAAATCCTGTTGGAAGTTGCTGATTAAGGATAGGAAATGTTCCCAGGGGTTGGTCAGTGATTATATCAGTATCACCTAACATATTTATATAGAAAATTAGACAACTGATAGATGATTGGTATGTATAGGTATAGATAGATGATAGATAGGTAGATATATTGTTGGACAGCTGCATCTGGGGAGGTCTCTCCCTAAACACTAGGTGAAACCTCAGTCTGGATGGGGGAGGGTTCTTGACTCTGAACAAGAAAGAATTCTTGAACAGGTCAGATGAGTGTAGGTAAGGAAGGAATTCATCAAAGCAAGAGTATCATGGAATAGCAGCTGACTTGCAGGCAGCAGAGAGCAAGGGAGAACAGAGGGAGGAAAGGGAAGTTCACTGAACTCCTGCTCAAAATGGGGCAGATTCCTTGCCAACTCCTAAAGCCAGGGTCACCTGGCATCCAGTGTCCGCTTGGATCTGCACAGCGTGGGAACTAAGCCCCTACCAGCCCAGGATTTGCAGGAGCCACAGAGCACTGGATGGAGTGAGAATATGTTCTGAGAACTTCCCAAAGACAAAGAAAGGAGATTTTGGGGCAGGCTACTGAAGAGTATGATCATACAGCTGCAGTCCTGTCTGGGTCACCCAGGTGATGAGAACTTGCAAGCCCAAATCAGAGATCTTTGTAGCCCCTCCCTACTTGTCTGAAGTAGAACAGAGGGAAGACTGTTTAAGTCTAGAAAATAGAATGAAATAGCAAAGTAACAGACGCTTACCACTGGAAGAATGCAGAGACAAAACAGTAAGTTGAGCAGTGAGAAGTCTTTATTTAAGGCAAAAAAAAAAGTACACACTGGAAGTAAAGGCAGTGTGGGCAACGGAGGTGCACTTAAGGGCTTGGGATTCTGTCTTTTATGGCTTTCAAGAATGGGGCAAAGGGCAGCCAGGGTTTGGGGTGTGTGTAGGTTTGACTTGTGGTCTCGTGATGTCTTTCTCCAGTGAGAGACATTATGTCACCATCCACAGTCAGTCCTCTAGATATTCTGTAAGACAAACTTAACACAAGGAATTTATCAATCCTGTTCTTCTCCAAGATAGTGGTTACCCTTAAGCACTGGGAACATCATTTAGGACTGCTTGCCCTGTCTTAAGACAGGTTGTTGACTGATTACCAAAGAATATGTTAGGAATCTTACCTCCTAACTCCCTGGTTTTTAAAATGGAATCTTAGCCTTAAAATGGATGGTTTACTATGCTGTTTATATCTTGGCATTTTTATCACAGGCAGGAAAAAATAATCATGATGCTTGTCCCATGTCCCTGCCCTTACTCAGATAGATAGATAACAAGTAGGTATGATAGATATGCTATCAGTCTAAATGGATTAATCACAGTAAGTTTTATCACAGAGTAATGTGATTTCCTTAACAACCCAAGAACACCACTCTGATTTTATACATATATGTTTGCACTTTGAAAAATATCTGTTTTCTAGATATTTGGAAATATTAATATGGATAGAGTCAGCCTGCCAATATAAGGAATTTATCTCTTCCTATGAGCAGAGCCATGTATTAGGTACTATGGAGGAATATGAATTGTCTTATTTAAAAGATTGATAAACTTTTCATTACTCTAAGCAATCCTTTCTCTAGTTCCACAGGTTCCTACTCTAAAACCCTTATTGCCATCCACATATATAAGCAGTTAGGGAGCACAGCTGGTTGGAGATTGAATGCTATTAGCTAGCTAAGAATTGCTTTTCAAAAGATAAAGACTGAATCATGTCTAATCCCATTTATAATTGCACCAGATGCAGATGAGGCCTCCCTGGTTCTGGATCATCTCCCCTTTCCTTTTCCAGGTTAGCAGTCAGGCACTGAGTTTTTCCTTCACTGTTACACAAGACATCCCTGTAAGAGACCTGAAACCTGCTATTGTGAAAGTTTATGATTACTATGAGACAGGTGAGTAAAAGAGAGCTAAGAACCCTAAATACAAACTCTCAGCCCATAATAAGGGAATTAGAGTGTGATAGACATTTGTGAATAAGTCCTGGTTTCAACATATTCTGTCATCCATACTTTTTGCCGGTTAACTTAGCCTACAAAATACCACCTAAAACATAAACTTAACAATCATGCAAATTGATCCATGGTACTAAGAGTTTTACAAGAAGTACCTACAGATAAAGAGATATATAAACCTCCTTAAAAAGCTACATAACAATGAAAACAAATAAATAAAAGCCTAGAGAATTATACAAATAATTACAGTAGGAAGTTAGAAATGGGGAAAGAACTATATAGCCTGAATGGTCACTGGAACCACAGAAAGTAAAATTAAAGTTGGAAGATAAGGGTGGGTATTATTCTGATTAGTGGAGAGGAATATGATGCATGTTTCAGACTAGGAGAAAAGTCTAAGAAAGTATCATGAAGGAAAAAAGAAGCAGATATTGAAAGACAGCTGAAAGGACACATACCTACAGTTATCCCTCTTGTACTATAGTATGAATGAGCTTTTATTTTTCCTCCAGAGAATGAGATTGTATCAATGTTGTTCAATTATGGTTATGTCCAATTATATCAATCAAGAGTGGAAATTCCTTGACCAATTTTATCTATTTCCCCAGAGCTGACAATTCTGCAATGATGCATTTTCTGATCCAGTAGAGTTTGCAGTCTATGTCAAAGCCTCTGCATGAAACCTTGTCCCATTGAAGTTGCACTTCTTGAGCTTTTCTCCCATTGTGTCTTTCAGATGAAGCAGCTTTTGCTGAATACAGTGCCCCCTGCAATACAGGTAAGCAGTGTACACTCCATGTTGCACGCCTTTGTTTTGCTTTCAAAACCAGTCCTCCGAAATATAAAGTCCTCTACATCTCTTTTTAGTTAATCTCAGATTCCTTATACTGCATGATAACACAGAAGTATACATCTTGTGAGAGGAGCACTTCTCTCAAGGAAACCTCTAATTCCTTTATCAGAAGAGTCTCCATTTATTATAGGGTGGATATCTGATGGGACTCCTTCTCAACTATAGACACTTTGGTTTCCTTTAGCAAGCTGTATTATTCATATTCAGTTAGGAGTATATTTAAGAAAAGGTGCTAACCTTTCTTTAAATGTTTGGTAAAATTCACCTGTGAAGCTGTCTGGTCCTCAACTTTCATTTTCTGGAGTTTTTTAATTATTGATTTCAATTTCAATACTTGTAATCAGTGTATTCAGATTTTTCTATTTCTTTATGATTCAATCTTGGAAGGTCTATGTTTCTAGGATTTATGTATTTTGTCTCAGTTTTCCAATTTGTTGGCATATAGTAGTCTCATAATCCTTTGTGTTTCTGTGGAGTCAGTTGTAATTTCTCCCCTTTCATTTCTGATTTCATTTATTTGGGCCTTATCTTTTCCTTCATGAGTGTGACTAGAGGATCAGTTTGTTCATCTTTTCAAAGAACCAACTTTTAGTTTCATTTGTCTTTCCTTTTTCTTTTTTTAGTCTCTATTTTATTTACTTCCACTCTAAACTTTATTATCTTCTTCCTTCTACTAACTTTGGGCTTTGTTTATTCTTCTTTTTCTAGTTCCTTTAAATATAAAGCTAAATTATTTGGGATTTTTCTTGTTTCTTGAGTTAGGCCTGTGTCACTTGTGAACTCCTTTCATAGAACTGTTTTTTCTATGTCCCACAGATTTTGGAAAATAGTGTTTCCATTTTCATTTGTATCAAGGTATACTCTGATGCTAAAACCAGACGATACCACAAAAAAAGAGGAAATTATAGGCCAATATCTCTAATGAAACACAGATCCACAAATTCTCAACAAAGTATTAGCAAACCAATTCAACAATATATTAAAAGGATCATACACCATGATCAAGTGGGATTTATTCAAAGGATGCAAAGATAGTTCACCATCTACAAATCAATCAACATGATACACCACATATGATCATATCAACAGACGAAGAAAAAGCATTTGCCAAATTCAACATCCATTTATGAGAAAAACTCTCAACAAAGTGAGTATAAAGGGAACATATACCTCAACATAATAGAGGTCATATAGGACAAAATCACAGCTAACATCATATTCAGTGGTGAAAAGCTTCTCCTCTAAAATCAGGAACAAGACAAGGATGTCCACTCCTGCCACTTTTATTCAACATAGTACTAGAAGTCCTAGCCACAGCAATCACACAGGAAGAAATAAAAGGCATCCAAGGAAGAAGTAAAACTATCACTGTTTGCTCATGACATGATACTATATGGAGAAAATCCTAAAGACTCCACCAAAAAACTATTAGAACTAATAAATGAATTCAGTAAAGTTGCAAGATACAAATCTAGCATATGAAAAATTGGTTGTTTTCATACATATCACAGCGGCTGTGATATGTATGAAAATTCCTTGATTTCAAACTATACTTTGTCATATACTACAAGATTCTAGTAATCAAAATGGTATGGTACTGGCAGAAAAAATAGACACATAGACCAATGGAATAGAATAGAAAGCCCAGAAATAAACAAGCACATGCATGGTCAATTAATCTATGACAAAGGAAACAATAATATACAATGGGGAGATGACAGTATCTTCAAAAATGTTGTTGGGAAGACTGGACAGCTATATGCAAAACAAACTACACCACTATCTTATACCACATACAAAAATAAACTCAAAATGGATTAAAGACCTGAAACCATAAAATTCTTAAGAGAATTTTACATAGGCAGTAAGCTCTTTGACATCAGTCTTGGCAATATTTTTTTGGACCAGTCACCTCAGAAAGGGCCAGCAAAAACTAATATAAACAAATAGGATTATATCAAACTAAAAAAGCTCTTACATAATAAAGGAAACCAGCAACAAAACAAAAAGGCAACCTACTGAATGGGAGAAGATATTTGCAAATCATACATCTAATAAGGGGTTAATTACCAACATATATAAAGGGCTTATACAACTTACTATAAAAAACAAATAACCCAATTTTTAAAATGGGGCAGAGGACTGAATGGACATTTTTCTAAAGACATACACATGGCAAAACAAAAGATAAAAAGATGCTCAACATCCCTAATCGTCATGGAAATGCAAATCAAAACCACAGTGAGATATCACCTCACACTAGTCAGAAGGGTTAATATCAAAAACACAAAAAAATAACAAGTGTTGGCAAAGATGTGGGGTAAGGGTAATCTTCATACACTGTTGGTGGGAATGTTAATTGGTGCAGCCACTATGTAACAGTATGGAAGCTCCTCAAAATATTAAAAATGGAACTGCCATATGATCGAGCATTCCACTTCTGAATATTTATCCAAGAAAATTAAAACACCAATTTGAAGAGACATACATGGCATGTTTATTGAAGCATTAATTATAATAGTCAAGTTATGGAACCCAGGTGTCTATTGATAGGTGAATGGACAAAGAAGATGGGTTATATATATAATGGAATATTACTCAGCCATGAAGAAGGAAATATTGCCATTTGTGACAATATGGATGGATCTAAAGAGTATTATATTAAGTGAAATAACCCAGACAAAGACAAATGCTGTTTGATTTCACTTATATGTGGCATCTAAAACAAAATAAATCAATAAACAAAACAGAAACAAAGATACAAGAAATAAACAGTTGGTTACAGAGTGGGGAGGCATGGGGGATAGGCAAAACAGGTGAAGGGGATTAAGAGGCACAAACTTCCATATACATAAATATAAAATATGTAAGTCTTGGGGATGTACTGTACAGCATGGGGAATTTGTCAATAATATTATAATAACTTTGTATGGTGATCATAACTACACTTACTATGGGGATAATTTTGTAATGAATGAAAATATCAAATCACTATGAGGTACACTTGAAACTAACAGAATATTGTATGTCAATTATACTTTAACTTTTTTTTAAAAAATTATATTCTCTCCTTGGCAAGCCCTAAATCATCCTGCTTACTTTCTCTTCTCTCCACAGACACAGAGCAAGGAAATGCTTGAGGCCCATATCAATAAACAAGGCTTTGTGGGAATCCCAAGAACTGGGATTCCAAAAGGACTGTTTTGTCTCCATAATATAGATGCTAACCAAGCTTAGTAAATAGATATATATTTCTAGAAAGTATCTATCATTGATTCCTTCTTCATTCAATGCAAATTTACTCTAAGCATTGCACCCTGTTATTTGCAATGAACAGATAATGACATTTTAATTGAGGTAATGCCATGTAGTATAAAACTGGGAACAGTTCAAACAGATTAAATTCTGCAGAACCTCAAAGTATTCAAAATAACTTAATGGCAATCTGAGAAAATTTTACCCCCCCAAAATTTTTTGACTGGCAGTTTAGTAACAAGAAGAGTATAAAGTATATCTGGGTGGAAACATTTTTTGCAAAGGCATAAAGAATGCACTTTATGCCAGGTAAAATGACTAACCTGACTAAATAGCCACTCCATGTTGCACAATGCTAGAAGCCAATTAATTAATGTTATGTTAAGGTGGAAGACAGAAAATATTACAGCAATTTCACTGAATTAAGAATTAGTTGGCCTGACTTTTGGTTCAAAAACTGCTACTGACTTTGGATCAAACAACAACTAGCCTCTGGATATCAATTTCATGTATAAGAGAGTCTGATGTTATTGGAGAAGGGATAAGTAAGTATGGTAGCAAGGCTTCTGAGGAGATAAGAAAATGTAGAAGCACAAAAAGAAATATAAGTTTGCCATGGGCATACAATGGGGAAATGACAGCCTCTTCAACAGCTGGTGTTAGCAAAACTGGACAGCTACATATAAGAGAATGAAACTGGGTCACTGTCTAATCCCATACACAAAAGTAAATTGGAAATGGATCAAAGACCTGAATGTAAGTCATGAAACCATAAAACTCTTAGAAAAAAACATAGGCAAAAATCTCTTGGACATAAACATGAGTGACTTCTTCATGAACATATCTCCCCAGGCAAGGGAAACAAAAGCAAAAATGAACAGGTGGGACTATATCAAGCTGAAAAGCTTCTGTACAGCAAAGGACACCATCAATAGAACAAAAAGGTATCCTACAGTGTGGGAGAATATATTCATAAATGACAGATCTGATAAAGGGTTGACATCCAAAATATATAAAGAGCTCACATACCTCAACAAACAAAAAGCAAATAATCCAATTAAAAAATGGTCAGAGGAGCTGAACAGACAGTTCTCCAAATAAGAAATTCGGATGGCCAACAGACACATGAAAAGATGCTCCACATCACTAGTCATCAGAGAAATGCAAATTAAAACCACAATGAGATATCACCTCACACCAGTAAGGATTGCCACCATCCAAAAGACAAATAACAACAAATGTTGGCGAGGTTGTAGAGAAAGGGAAACCCTCCTACACTGCTGGTGGGAATGTAAACTAGTTCAACCATTGTGGAAAGCAGTATGGAGATTCCTCAAAAAACTCAAAATAGAAATACCATTTGACCCACGAATTCCACTCCTAGGAATTTACCCTAAGAATGCAGCAGCCCAGTTTGAAAAAGATATATGCACCCCAATGTTTATCACAGCACTGCTTACAATAGCCAAGAAATGGAAGCAACCTAAGTGTCCATCTGTAGATAAATGGATAAAGAAGATGTGGTACATATACACAATGGAATATTATTCAGCCATAAGAAAAAAACAAATCCTACCATTCGCAACAACATGGATGGAGCTAGAGGGTATTATGCTCAGTGAAATAAGCCAGGTGGAGAAAGACAAATACCAAATGATTTCACTCATCTGTGGAGTATAAGAACAAAGCAAAAACTGCAGGAACAAAACAGCAGCAAACTCACAGAACTCAAGAATGGACTAACAGTTCCCAAAGGGAAAGAGACTGGGGAAGATGGGTGGTAAGGGAGGGATAAGGGAGGTGGAGGGGGCATTAGCAAGTATAATGGGGGCAGGGACATGGGGAAGACAGTATAGCACAGAGAAGACAAGTAGTGATTCTTCGGGATCTTACTACACTGATGGACAGTGACTTTATTGGGGTTTGTGAGGGGGACGTGGTGATGGGGGGAGTCTAGTAAACATAATGTTCCTCATGTAATTGTAGATAAATGATACCAAAAAAAATTGTATGAGATAATTGGATAAACTTGAGGACTAATTGTATATTTGATGGTACTAAGAAATTACTGCTTTGGATAAGGTTATTGTAGTTATGTTTTTTAAAAAAGTCATGATGATGTGATGTTTTTAGAGGTATGTACTGACATTTTTGAGCTTGGTAATTGCTGAAGCTGGGCAGTGGCTATAGAGGGATTATTATATTGTATTCTCAACTTCCATGTATGTTCAAAGTTGTCTGCCAAAAAATAAAAATGAATTTGGATGTGGAAAAAAAAATATATATATATATATAAGGTTTAACATATTTTTTAAAAAGCCAATACTGAGAGTCTACCAAATGGTTAACACTGTTCCAAGCATTTGGTTGGTATAATGTAATTCCATCGTCACAATCACTCTTTGATATGCATACTACGATTAACACCATTTTTAAAGTGAGGAAACAGGTTTAGAGAAGTTAAGAAACTTTCCTAGGCCCCAAGTGATGAAGGAGGCCAGATCTGAACCTGGGCATTGTATCTTCAGAGTCCACACCCCTAACTAGTACCCTCTAAAACTTAGCCGTGGGAGGGAGAAGGTTGTCCCTTGAGATTTCAGATGATGGTGGCAGGCTGAATGCAGAGAGATGTGTTCAAAGGAAGAAACATGTATGTGGGAGCAGGGAGGTGAGAAAAATTGGACAGAAGCAGCAGGAAAGGCAGAAGTTAGGGTTTCTGGGACTCCTCAGGTGAGCTCCCCTCTGACACCTGCTGGCATCACTACATAGCAATTGTCCTTCTCTTGGGTGAAGCATATACAATCGGCAGACTGTGGCCAGTACTGCCCAAGATTGAATATGCCTCTCCCAAAAGTCAAACTACCCTGAAAAAGGAGAAGAGGTAACATCTACAAAATCTCTTGCTTAGAGCCTGTTTATTTAAGGGCCACATTGGCTTATTTATTAGAGTATGGAAAGAAAAGAGCCCTTCGGTATTCTGAAAGAGCTAATAAGACTTTTACTGGATAATATCATGGGATCCAAGATTCCTTCTCTGAATGATCTCAATAAAAGGCTAAGAAAACCTCCACTCTCAGACTGGATCTGGCCATGCCCACAGGTACTCATACGAGGCACATGCTACTCCTATGTTACGATCCAATCACAAGAGAGCTCTATCAGCTTGGAGCCCAGATTTGTGGTGCGCTCCCCAAAAGTGAACACAATGAAGAATCCCAACCTCATGAATTAGAAATGTTGCAAGTAAATAACCAAATACTGTTAGCACTGTGTGTGGTGGGGAAGAAAGGAATAGGGAAAATCTTGTTGTTTGGTCTGACTCTTGATGCTTTTATGTTTTTGTCTAGTTGCAGTTTAAGTTTTTATATATATATAAATAATGCCTGGGACAGAAAGTGGAAGCAGCTTCAAATTTTGGTCTGTAAAAGAGAGTTAAACCAAGTTAAATGTTGAAAAAGCATAACACTATTTGTGGGAGTGATAAAAAGTAAGGCTAGAGAAATCAGCTGAGACTTATTTATCAAGTATCTTCAAAGAAGTCTGTATTTTATCCTATAAGCAATAGATAGCCAATGGAATCATTTAAAAACAAGAAAGTGTCATGATCAGATTTGGTTAGTATGGTGACAAGTGGCAGACAGAGGCTAGATGGTAGAAGAAGGTGGCAAAGCGATTATTACACTAGTTCTTATTTCTCATGAAAAATGTGCTTAGAAAATGGGGTGTGTGTATATTCTGCTTCTTAAAATGGTATTCTTTTAATTCTTATCACTTAGGGAAAGCCAAAATGCTTTGCACCAATATGACAAGTTCTAGACCAAAATGAAAGCCTACAAAGAAATTTTAAAACATAGACCTATGTAGATTCAGCTTACTATGCAGTTTTTTTTTTCTGGAGTTCATTAAAAGCCATAATTGACACTAAGTGGCGAGTCGGGATTAACAATTAATGTTCCCAGAGTAATTATGCATCTTGGTTTGAGCTAGGATGAGGAAGGGGAACTACTAAAATAAAGTTAGATGCAGACTAATAGCATTCTCAGTGACAAATACTGATACATGAGATACATATAGCACATACTAGATTCATGCCTGAGATCCTGAGCATTACAGTGAAATATTATCTTGGATGTTCTTTTTTTTTTTTTTAATGTGCTTCCCCACACTTGTCCCTGTTCTGTTGGCTTAGCAGAAACGAAAATGCCCTCTTTTTATGTACAGTAATGAGAGATAACCACAGGGTGGCAGCAAAGGTTAAAAATATATTAGCACTTCTACTTCATTAAATTACAAAAAATCTTGTTAAAAAAGAAAGAAGTTAGACCAAAGGAGGAGAGGAGAGGAATAAAATAATAATGCAAACTTAAAATAAAAAGATAACAAAATAAGGTACTTAGCACAAACTGTACTTATCTGGTCAGAATTGCATTCACAACCCTGGAAATAGTTGATTTAGCAGGGGGAGGGGGTCTTAGATTGTATTCTACAAGAAATATTACATTTCTTTGTTGTCTATAATAAAATGTGACTCTAAACCCCAGTTTTATTGGACTACAGGAAATTTATCTCAGATATTCTGGGGTTCTTCACAGCTGGTGATCTAATGCAGGATCAAGGCCTTGCATCCCCTGCCTTGGCAGTCATGTCTGTTGTCTACATGACCATTTTAGATCCACCACTCTGTGTCCTCCTTGTCATTCTTAGGAATAGGAATATTTGACAAAGAACAAGTGGCTGAGCCTGGCACTTCAGGGACCTGTAAAGCCCCTAAAAACCTACTGACCCATTTCTATCCAGCCCAGAATTGTTTTAGTCTGGGAAATGTTTGAATCATGTAAACGTTCAGTCATTTTAGTCAAAATTGGCTTTATGGCTTAATTGACTTTCTCCCTTCTCCAATTCTGTTATTCCTGTTTATTCTTTTAAAATTAAAAGCAAGGAACCCTGCTCCAATCCTCCTCCCTTGAGGTTCAATTCTTTCAGATTTTCTACATAGACAATCATGTAATACATGATCAAAGACAGTTTTATTTCTTCCTTACCAATCTGTATCTTTTATTTCCTTTTCTTGTCTTATTGCATTACCTAGCCTAGAATTTTCAGGAAAATGTTCAATAGGAATGGTTAGAGGGGACGTCCTTGTCTTGTTCCAAATTTTAAGGAAAAGCATATAGTCTGTTCCATCAGTATATTAGCTATAGGTTTTTTTGTAGGTGTTCTTTATCAAATTAAGCCTCCTTGTATCCCTAGTTTGGTGAGTTTTTATCATGAATGGAATTTGGATTTTGTCAAATGCTTTTTTTGCATGTATTGTTAAATCATATGATTTTTCTTCTTTAAGCCTGTTATTGATATTATGGATTACATTTCACTGATTTTCAAATGTTGAACTAACCTTATATACCTGTAATAAATCCCACTTTTCAAAGTGTAGATTTATGTTTATACATTGTTGGATTTGACTTGCTAATATTTTTATTGGGGATTTTTATGTTTTTGTTTGTGAGAGTCTGCAGTTTCCTTTTCTGTAACGTTTTTCTCTGGTTTTGGTAATACTGACCTCATAGAATGCATTAAGAAGTATTCTCTCTGCTATTTTTCTGGAAGAGATTTTAGAGAATTGGTATCATTTCTACTTCAAATATTTAGTAAAATTCAGCAGTGAAAACATTTGGTCCTGGTGTTTTCAGTTTTGGAAGCTTATAACTACTGATCCAATTTCTTTAATATAGATCTATTCAGATTATTGATTTCTTCATATGAGGGTTTGGTAGATAGTGTCTTTCAACTAATTGATCAATTTCATCTGTTATCAAATTTATGGGCATGAAGTTGTCCATAACATTCCTTTATTATTATTTTATTTTCCATGGAATCAGTTGTAATATTTCTTCTTTCATTTCTAATATTGGTAATTTGTGTGTTTTTTTAATTACCCTGGTTAGTTTATCAACTTTATTTACTTTTTCAAAGAACCAGTTTGCTGATTTTCTCTATTGATTTCTTGTTTTCAATTTCATTGATTTATGGTCCAATTGTTATTAATTCTTTTCTTCTACTTACTTTGGATTTAATTTACTGTTCTTTTTTATGTTTCCTAAAGTGGTATCTTGGATTATTGATTTTTAGATGTTTCTTCTTTTCTAACATATGCGTTCAATGTTACAAAATTTCCTCTAAGCACTGCTTTTGCTGCATTATACAAATTTTGATAGGTTGTGTTTTCATTTTCATTTACTTTTAAATTTTTTTAAGACTTCTTGGACCCATGTGTTATTTAGAACTATACTGTTTAACTGCCAAATATTTAAGTATTTTAAAGCTATCTTTGTTTTTGACTTCTAATTTAATTTCACTCTTATCGGAAGCATATTTTCCATAATTCTATTCTTTTGAGTTTGTTATGATGTGTTTTATGAATCAGCATGTGGCCTATCTTGGTGAATGTCCCTTGTGAGCTTGAGAAGAATGTATTCTGCTATTCTTGGATGAAATATTCCATAAATGTCAATAAGCTCCAGTTGCTTGATGGTGCTTTTCAGTTCAACTACATATTCTCACTGATTTTCTGCCAACTGGATCTGTCAACTGCTGATAGGATAGTAACAGCTCCAACTGTAATAGTGGATGTCTGTTTTTCCTTCCAGTTCTATCTGCTTTTGCTTTTTGAGTATTTTGAGTCTCTGTTGGGTACATACATTCTTAGGATTGTATGTCTTCTGAGAAAACTAGCCCCTTTATCATTATGTAATTTGTCTAAGATGAATATACTGAAAAGTAATTTGTCTAAGATGAATATAGCGATACCAGGCTTTTTTAAAAATTAATGTTAGCATGGCATGTCTTCCTCCATCCTTGACTTTTAATCTGTGTCTTCATACTTAAAGGGGATTTGTGGTAGACAACATATGATTGGGTCTTGTTTTTTATCCTGAAAGTGTCTTTGAATTGATGCATTTAGATCACCAACATTTAAGTCAATTTTTAATAGAGTTGGATTAATCTCTACAATAAAATTTTACTATTTTCTATTTATTGTCCTTGTTTCTTTTTTTTTATTTATTTTAATCACCCACTCTTTTTTTGCCCTCTCTGGTTGTTACTGAACATTTTCTTGTGATTTCATTTTCTCTTGTCTCTTATCATGTCAATTATACTTTTTCAAAAAACTTTTTAGTCCTTGCCTAGAGTTTGCAATATGCATTTACAACTAATCTAAGTCTACTCTCAAATAACATGATACTGCTTCACGGGTAGTGCAGGTACCTTATTACAAGTTATTCCCCACTCCCATCCCTTATAACATTTCTGTCACACATTTCATGTATCCATACACTATAATCATCCAGTATATCATTGCTATTATTATTTTGAACAAACCGTTATCTGGTAGGTCAGTTAAAAATTAGAAAATAAAAGACTTTATTTTACCCTCATCTCTTCCTTCTTGAATGTTCTTCCTTTATGTAGATTCAAGTTTCTGACCTATACCATTTTCCCTCCCTCTGAAGAATTTTAACAATTTGTGCAAGGTAGGTCTACTGAAAACAATCTCTCTCAATTTTTGTTTTTTTGAGAGGTTTTTATTTACCTTCACTTTTGAAGGGTAATGTATCTAGATACAGAATTCTAAGTTGGTGAGTTTTTTCTGCCAACACTTTAAATGTTTCATGCCATTCTCTTCTTGCTTACATCGTTTCTGAAGAGAAGTCTAGTGTAATTCTTATTTTTCTTCCTCATAGGCAAGGCTTTTTAGTTCCCTCTGGGTTCTTTCAGTGTTTTCTCTTTGTCTTTGATTTTCTGTGGTTTGAATATATGACTCAGTGTAGATTTGTATGTGTGTGGTATTTATCCTTCTTGGTGTTCTCTGAACTTTCTGGATCTAGTTTGGTGTCTATCAATGACTGGAAGATTCTCAATCATTATTACTTCAAGTATTTCTTCTGTTCCTTTCTTCTCCTTCTGGTATTCCCATTACATGTATGTTACACCTTTTGTAATTGTTCCTGTTTTGGGATATTCTTTTTTTTTCTCGAATCTTTTTTCTCTTCTACTTTCAGTTTGGGAAAGTTTCAATTGTGATGGCAAATGCTCTGAACATCCTCATTTTGTGCATAAACACCCTAGCTTAATGTCCTGTGTGGTAATTTCTCTGGATTATAGAGCCAGGGTTGGAATTGTTGGATGAAAGTATAATACAAATTTAATTTCTGTATTCATACAGAATCTAGGATGGCTGTGCCAATGTATACTACCTCCACTAGTGCATAAAGGGGTCACATTTCCACTATATTCTTGCCAATACTCATCTATATTTTGTACTGTTTTAAATAAAAAGTCTTATTTCTTGATTTTTTATTTTTTTACTTCTCTGATTATTAGAGAGGTGAGTCCTCTTTTTATATTAGCCATTAGGATCTCTTCTTCTGCAGATTACCTATTCATGTAGATACACATTACCTATTCATGTGTTTCTATTTTTGTATTTCGTCAATTCTAATGTGTACATTTTTGACATTTTAATATCCCTGAAATTGGGACACATCTTACAACGGACAATATCTATTTATCAATTGTTGACTAGCAAGCCACCACAAAATACAATAAGTTAAAACAAAAACAATTTTATTGTATTTCACTTTTCCATGGGTTCACTGGGCTTAGCTGGGTGATTCTTCTGATGGTCTTGCCATGGGTCCCTCATGAAACTTCAGGCAGACAGCAGGGGGTGCTGGAATGATATGAAGACTCTACTAGGATCCTTGGGCAGATGGGCCTATCTCCCTCTCCATGCAGTCTCAGGGAATTTCCTTGTGGTTTCTCCAACAGGGTAGCTGGTCTTGTTATATGACATCTCAGAGCTCTCAAGAACAAGGGTTTTCCAAGAAACTATGGCAGAAACTGCAAGGTTACTTATGAACTAGTCCCACAAGTCATGTGGTATCACTTCCATCACTTTTGATTGGTCAAGAGCATCACAGGGTCAGCTTATACTCAAGAGAAAGTAAAACAAACTCCACATCTTGAGAGAGGAGAAGCAAGATCACATTACAACAGAGCATGTACTTGGAGATAATATTGTGGCTATCTTTGGAAACACAATGTATTAAATCTGCCATTTGGCTATAAAGTCATATCTCTCCTATATACAAAATACATTTAGCCTCTCCCCTAAAAATTTCATCTTATTATGGATAAGTCTAGGATCTCACCATCTAAATTCGTTGTGAATGGGGTTTTAGGGTGAAGTTCCTTAAGCACTACTCCAGAACAGTTCCTCTCAACCTGAGGATATTTGAATTCAAGAGACAAGGTAATTGCCATACACACAAACTCAAAATATGATGGTGAGACAAAGAAAGAATAAGTGCAACAAATACTCAGTCGAGATTCAAAGGCAGGGAAAATAGCCTCCACATCTTGATGGAGGAGTGGCAAGGACACAATGCAGAAGAGCACATGGCATACCAAATTGTACATTTTAAACAGGTACACTTTATGGTACACCAACTGAACTTCAATAAAAGCATTTGTTTGTTTTTAAAGAGCATGTTGTTTGGGACTTTTGCAGTCATCTTTGGAAATACAGTCTTCCATGGCATTTTACACAGCTGAAATCAGGTGGGCAATGTCATGATGTAGTCATTCCTTCTTCATGCTAATATTAACTTGGTTGTTGTCCCATTGAACTTCCCACTGAACAACTTTAATCACTCAATATTGAAGTCAATGAATCATTTAATAATCATTTGAACAAGGAATTGAAATTCTGTTCTGATTGTTGTTTGAAACCCTCCATTAGCATGCCAGTTTGTTTTCTGTATTTATGAGTCTGATTATGGAATTTCATGGTTTTTTTTGTTCATGTGTTTTGTGTTTTAGATTCCACATTTAAGTGAAATTATATTGTTGTCTTTTTCTGTCTGATTTATTTCACTTAGCATGATACCCTCTAGGTCCATCCATGTTGTTGCAAATGGTGAGATTTCATTCTTTTTCATGGATGAGTAATGGATTACCCAATATTCCCCCAAATAGATCTAGACTTGAATTTTTGCTCAAGCTATATATATATAATATTCTATTTGTACTGATAGCTGCACTTACTGTGGTGAGCATTTCATAATGTATGTAGGCAATGAGTCACTATGTTGTACACCTGAAACTAACATGTCAGCTGTACTTCAATTAAAATTTTAAAAAGTAAAAGGAAAATATTAGCATGAAGACCTGAAGAATGGTTATCAGCTTAGCAAGCAATCCCAGAGATATTAGTGAGGCACTCTTTTAGGAAATGCTGCATCACCAGCAGTTACTTGATATCACAGTCTACAGTATTATATATAAGAACATGGAGTATGAAAGTGATTCAGAAGAATTGCACTCTAAATGAAAATAAGTTTTAGGAATATTGAATGTCAGGTGATCAGAGGGAGGTACCGAACGCAATTTCTACCTGACATTCCAAATATATCATTGCCATATACCAGTCAAATAGTGAAAGTCACTTGATTTCCAGCCTAATGTTTCCTATAGAACACTAAGGAAAGACTTGTTGACTTGGATAGCTCAATATGGAGGGCACTTATACAAACAGAAAATTGAAAAGCATGGCATTTGTTTATCAAAATGAGGTGGGGTAAGTTAAAGTACATATTATTCTTTAAGGACAGACAAGGCCTGGACACCTAGCACTGTGTCTGTGACTCTGATGATTCTATGCTATCTACTGAAATTATGCGTATGTGATTGATAATCATTTTAAATGATAACCAGATGAGCACTTGATTCTACCCTTCTTTTCCTTTCTCTCCTACTTTTCAGAAAGCTTAATTTCCTCCAATCAAATGTCATCTTTTTATTAAGAATATGATGTGTTTCTATTTTGCCGTCTTTTGTTCTTTTCTTCACTAATGAGCCTCCTACTACTGATATTCCACTTCCCATGCTACTAAATGTTATCAATTTTTCTTTCTTAATCACTCACTATTATGCTAGGACTAGTGTCCGTAACTAGCAGTGATCTGAGTACAGTATACAGGCCATCTTGCTAATAAAATGATCCTAGATCTCTGTGTTGAAAATGTATGGTGTCAAAGGTTATATGACTGGCCACAAATGAACTATTTATACCTGAGTAAGGTAAAAATAATATATGACTTTTTCTAGAATCAAGGTAAAAAGAAAATGTTCTTTTTACTAGTGATTGTATAGAACAGATTCTATCCTTGATTGGCCATTATAAAAAAAGAAGAAATCCTGAAAGGGTATCTTTAACTCAGCACCCTCGGAAAGGCCCTTGGCTGAGTGCTTCAGCAGCTGACATCATGACTGCAATCACTGGCCCTGTCCACAAGAGGGCAATTAAATCCCACAATAGGATTATACACATTAGCTTTTTAAGTGATGATTTAGGGAAGAACAGAGGAGGTAGTAGGATAGGAAAAACAAATAATGTTAAAAAAAAAAAAAAACAGCATAGAATTATACACATGCAGAGACCAAATAAGACTATTTTGCCAATCCTCAATTTCTATATGCATGAACTGATACTTGAAAAGCTTTACTCAATCTGAATCAAACTGTCAAACCTTGTAACCAATTCCCAACTTCTACCTACATTCATTTCCATTCTAATCCTTGATGCCATAGACCAGCAGTGGAGAAGTGAGGCAGCCCTCCAGCCTCAGGACATGGAGGTTTGGAAGACAAGAGCAGTCTTTCTCACTGGTACTGCTGGTATATGGTAGTGATTTTTTTGTGTGGAAGATACCTGCAATGGTAGTTTGTGGTGTCACCTTGGCAGACAACAGTCCTCAGATATTCTATCAAATGCTAATCTAGATATTGCTGTGAAGTGTTCTGTAGATGTGATTAAAGTCTCTTCATAATCAGTTGATTTTAAGTAAGGGAGATTATCATAGATAATCTGAGATAATCATAATCTGGGTGGACTTGATTCAATCCATTGAAAGGCATTAGGAGCAAAGGTGAAAATCCCCTGGTGAAGAAGAAATTCCACCTGGTGGACAGCAGCTTCAAGCCCCTGCTCTGGAGAGTTCTAGCCCGCCCTTTCTGACAGCCTTTCTGGACTTGCCTAGTTGGCTCCACAGCTGCATAGACCAATTCCTTTGCAATACATTTCTTGGTATATATCTCCTACTGGTTCTGCTTCTCTTGTTGAAGACAAGAGTCAGGACTGAGACAACACCCAGATACCAATTATCTCTCACAGGCGCCTCTGTGGATTTTAGAAGATTCCACATAGAGACAGATTCATCCCTAAGGAATGTCTGCACTGCACCATTCTCTGAAACAGGTGATATGCTCTCTGAAAGGCCTCTTATGACTCACCAACTTAGGTGAAACATTCCTCATGACTTTCTTCTGAGGTCCCCTGGTCTGGCAGGAAGTCCTCTTAGATAAAGCCCTTTGTAGATAACTCACACTCCATTACCTTCTGCTTTTTCTGGGCTCAGGGAAGCTCATATAATCATTCAGCAAACGTAAAAATTGCAACTTGCCTTCACTGCAGCTACCCCTCCCTACCCTATCATCTGGGGTAATTTTTGCTAGCATCCCACTGTCAGACCTCTGTAAGCAACATTCAGGCACAGCTTCTATGTCACTTATAAAAAGAATTTAAGTAAAGTTTTTCCAAGCACTCTCTTGTTCAAACAGCGCCAGATCTATGTTTTCATAACTGAGCAACATAGAGCCGGGGAGTAAGACTCCATCCACCTCCCGCAAGCAGCACCCCATCTCTCCCTGGAGTGTTCCAGTCCCTCAGTTGCTTGGCTTGGGGGTGGAAGGGGAAACACCCAGCAATCTCTTCATCCACAGATTCCTTCAAAGAATTTGCCTCTGTAATCATTCTTTACCTTTTCTCATATGGGCTGCTGGTAATTGTCCCTAGACCAGCTGGTGGAGTCCCGCAGGGTATGGTTAAGGACTCTCTTCTGGAATATAGGATTTCTCATCACCTATTATTTTCAGCTTTAGGTTTCAGCCAAATTTTGAGACCCCAGAAAAAAGTCCCTTTCTAATATTCTATTACTATCATAGCTGAATAATTTCTTGCATTCTCAGAAAAATCAATTATTCATAGGTAAGCTTATATCTAGAGTTTTGTATCTTTACAGAGCATCCCCAGACTGTTCTAATCTCTCAATAATGTTTTCCACTTGTGGTTCTGTTTCTGAGACCAGGGATACTTCCTGAGTTCATGCGTCTGCCAGTGAGTATCTGCCATGCTGTTCACTGGCTCCTAAAGCCTCCTACATGAGCTTTCCTGAATGTAACCACTGCACTCATCCCACTGTTTCACTGACAGATGCACCAATTTTCCATCCGTTTTGCCACAACAATGCTGATTCCAGTTAACTTCTGATGCCTCTATAATTATGTCTTTTATTAGAAGTTAAAGGTAATTGCCTTATACTCTCCCTTAACTAATTTAATCTTACAATGAAGAAGAAAGGATTTCAAATGATATGAAACCCACAATTTATAAAAGATAATAAATTTGAAGATGCTCCACATCGCTTGTCATCAGAGAAATGCAAATTAAAACCACAATGAGATATCATCTCACACCAGTAAGGATGGCTACCATCCAAAAGACAAACAACAACAAATGTTGGCAAGGCTGGGGAGAAAGGGGAACCCTCCTGCACTGCTGGTGGGAATGTAAATTAGTTCAACCATTGTGGAAAGTAGTATGGAGGTTCC